ACTTCATTAAGCTGAAGTGGTCTGGGTGCCTAGAGTGGTCCTTTAATGAGGATTCTATGGCAAGTGATATGCAAATGATTGCTGCAAAAACTTGCGGATAACTTGTGATTGGATAACTCGAGACAAGGTGCTACAGCCAGTGGTGTATCCTGGTTTTGTGCTGCCCTAGGCAGGACAAAACTCAGGCACCCCCCCGCGCCACCCCCACCCGCGCAACCGCCACCCAACCTTCCCCCCTGCTCCGCCTTCTAAATACACACACACACATTCACTGACAGATACGCATTCACTAGCTAACAGAAACACACAGTCACTAACAGACACACTCACACACTCACTAACAGACACACACTCACAGGCAAACACACACACACACTCACAGGCAAACACACACACACACTCACAGGCAAACACACACACTAACAGACATCCACACTAACAGACATCCACACTAACAGACATCCACACTAACAGACACACACACACTAACACTAACATACATACACTAACATTAACATACACACTAACACTAACAGACACACACACACTAACATACATACACTAACATTAACATACACACTAACATTAACATACACACTAACATTAACACACACACTAACATACACACACACACACTAACATACACACACACACACTAACATACACACACACACACACACTAACAGACATACACACCTTTCAGACACACACTAACACCTTTGCCACATACACTACTTATTACTGCCACACTAACACTAACAAACACACTAACACCTTATACACACACTAACACACACACTAACAAACACACACACACACACTCTTTTACACACACACACACACACTAACATTAACATACATACACTAACATTGCTGCCACATACACTTTAACACATTAACATACACACTAACACTAACGGGCCACACACTAGCACTAACATACACACACACTAACATACACACACTAACATACACACACACACTAACATACACACATAACATACACACACACACTAACATACACACACTAACATACACACACACTAACATACACACACACTAACATACACACACACTAACATACACACACACTAACATACACACACACTAACATACACACACTAACATACACACACAAACATACACACACACACTAACAGACATACACACTAACAGACACACACACTAACAGACACACACACACTAACACTAACATACATACACTAACACTAACATACACACACACTAACATACATACACTAACATACATACACTAACATACATACACTAACATTAACATACACACTAACATTAACATACACACTAACACTAACAGACACACTAACACTAACAGACACACACTAACAGACACACACTAACAGACACACACACACTAACAGACACACACACACACTAACACACACACACTCACTAGTGTTTTTTTTTTTTTTTTTATTTAACCCCCAGCCTCGCCCGCAGCGAAGGTAATGCACAGGGGTTCTCCACAACAGGATTACGGTGGCTGCGACTGACGGCTGCGAGGGAGCTCAACCCTGAAGCTCATAACCAGCTCCCTAAGATGGCGCGCCAGCAGAGTGAGGCTGGGCGGGCTATGGCGTCATCAGCAACCGGCCTCGCACCTGCTAGCGTAGCAGCAGTGGCGGCTCGAAAAAACTCCCTAGCCCGTCCGCCCCTTTCCATGCCCCTTCACAGCCACTGCCGCTGCGCCAAATGTCTGTTAGCCGCAAGGCTAACAAGACATTTGCGGGGCATTTGGGGGCGGCGTTTTTTGCCTGAAAATGCGCCAAGGCAAATGCCTTGTTTGCCTCGCGGCTAATACGCCCCTGGCTACAGCTATTAAAGGACCACTCTAGGCACCCAGACCACTTCATCTTAATGAAGTGGTCTGGGTGCCAGGTCACTCTAGGATTAACCCCTTTTTTTATAAACATAGCAGTTTCAGAGAAACTGCTATGTTTATAAATGGGTTAATCCAGCCTCCAAATCCTCTAGTGACTGTCTCAACACAGGAAACGTTTGGTTGAAGTTATTGCTGCCAAAGGAGGTACAACCAGTTATTAAATCCAAGGGTTCACATACTATTTCCACCTGCACTGTGAATGTTTACATGGTGTGTTCAATAAAAACATGGCAACATTTCATTCTTTGTGTGTTATTAGTTTAAGCAGACTATGATTGTCTATTGTTGTGACTTAGATGATGATCAGATCACATTTTTTGACCAATTTGTGCAGAAATCCATATCATTTCAAAGGGCTCACATACTTTTTCATGCAACTGTGTGTTATTTGTAGTGTCTCCTTTGGTTCTCCAATTAGCAGCAGTACCACCAGCATAAATATCTTCTGGTCAAACCCATCTTATCAGTGACATTTTACATTATTTTCTAGACACGATAACCTGTAGGGAGAAGCAGACTTTTTTTTTTTAAGAGCTTAAATATAAATAATTGTGTAAATTCTAGTTAATTCCAAAATACATCTATTTAAAGATGTCAACGTCTGTCATCTTTTCTGCTTTCTCTTCAGTTCTGACTAAATGGATATTGATCTGGATTATGAGCGACCCAACGTCGAAACTATTAAGTGCGTTGTAGTTGGAGATAATGCAGTGGGCAAAACACGATTGATCTGCGCCCGTGCCTGTAACGCTACTCTCACTCAGTACCAGCTCCTAGCCACCCATGTGCCCACTGTTTGGGCTATCGACCAATACAGAGTGTGCCAGGAGGTAAGTGACGACGTACAGTGCTAGAGGCAGGTTGTCAGTCAATATCTTTTTTTTTTTTTTAAAGGAATTCTATAGTGCCAGGAAAACATATCCCATTTCCTGGCACTATTGAATCCTATATTCCCCTCCCTCCCCCGCACTCCCCCTCCAGCAGCGCTGAAGATCATAAAACCTCTTCAATCACTTGCCTAAATCCAGCGCAGATGTCCTTTTAACATGCTCCTCCACCACAGGCATCAGCCGGCAAGGAGACCTAATGCGCATGCACAGCAATGGCTGTGCTCGCCTTAGGATTTCCTTACAGGAAAGCATTATTCAATGTTGGATTGGATGTTGTGATGGAACCTCCGCCGACGGATGCTCCTAGTGCTCACCAAGGACCATCAGTACCGCACCAGACACCATAAGCACTGCAGACCCCATGAACCGCCACAGCTTGGTTGACGTCTCGCCGTCTTCTAACCACCCTGGACCTACGACAAGGTTCCAGTGGGTAACTCTCTCCTCCAGGAGAGTATAGCAGGATCAACTGTAGAGTTCATACAAGAGCTAGTAGAATCCAAGGGAGTATAATGATTATAGCAATCCCTGTAATGATTATAGCAATCCCTGTAATGATTATAGCTGTTACCTTCAACATTGGGTAATAAATTATAGCTGTTGCCTACAACATTGCGTATTGGGTAATAAATATAAAAGAAATAAATTACATAGTTACATAGCTGAAAAGAGACTTGCATCCATCAAGTTCAGCCTTCCTCACAAATGTTGTTGCTGTTGATCCAAAAGAAGGCAAAAAACCTGGTCTGAAGCACTTCCAATTTTGCCACAAACTAGGAAAAAATTCCTTCTTGACCCCAAAATAGCAGTCAGATGTCTCCTTGGATCAAGCAGCTATTACCCACTAATTAGAAATTATATCCCTGTATGTTATGATTTTGTAAGTATTTATCCAATTTCAGTTTAAACATCTGTATGGACTCTGACAAAACCACCTCTTCAGGCAGAGAATTCCATATCCTTATTGTTCTTACTGTAAAAAAACCTTTTTTTTTGCCTTAGATGAAATCTCCTTTCTTCCAGCCTAAATGTGTGACCTCGTGTCCTATGTATAACCCTGTTTATGAATAGATTTCCAGATAAAGGTTTGTACTGGCCCCGAATATATTTGTATAAAGTTATCATATCCCCTCTCAGGCGCCGTTTTTCCAAACTAAACAGATTTTATTTTTTTAACCTTTCTTCATAATTAAAATTCTCCATTCCTTTTATCAATTTTGTAGCTCGTCTCTGGACCCTCTCCAGTGCCATGATATCCTTCTTTAGAACAGGCGCCCAAAATTGCACAGCATATTAAAGGTGTGGTCTTACCAGCGATTTTATAAAGAGGCAAAATTATATTTTCATCCCGAGAATTTATGCCCCTATTTATACATGACAAAATCTTACTGGCCTTAGCAACTGCAGATTGACATTGCAATGTGGCTTAGTAGAGAAGTAAAACAAGAGATTTAAAAAAAAAAAAAGGGCATTTAAGTCAGAGGCATCCTATATAAGCTATAAGGAAGCCAATAATGTTTGCAAAAAGGAAATTAAAGTGGCTAAGCTAGAAAATGAGAAATTGGTAGCCAAAGAATGTAAAACCAACCCCAAATTTTTTTTCAAGTACATCAATTCTAAAAAAAATGAAAGTGTAGATATACTTTATGAGAGTTGGGTTTGTTAGCTAATGAAGACCGGGAAAAAGCAGAAATTTTAAATAACTATTTTTCTTCAGCATATATTAAAGGACCACTATAGTCCAGGAAAACATACACTCATACTATAGGTTACCTTCAGGGTCCCCCTCCCGCCGGACTCTAGGGGGTGGAAGGGGTTAAACGTATCTCTAGCGCCGGGCGGGGGACTCTCCTCCTCCTCGGCTGCATGCGCGGCAGGAGCTGCGCGCGCATTCAGCCAGTCTCATAGGAAAGCATTTACAATGCTTTCCTGTGGACGCTTGCGTCTTCTCACTGTGATTTTCAATGAGACAGCCACCAGAGGCTAGATTAACACTATTATAAACATAGCAGTTTCTCTGAAACTGCTATGTTTATAGAAAAAAGGGTTAAACCTGGCACCCAGACCACTTCATTAAGCTGAAGTGGTCTGGGTGCCTATAGTAGTCCTTTAATGAGGATTCTATGGCAAGTGATATGCAAATGATTGCTGCAAAAACTTGCGGATAACTTGTGATTGTAGCACCTTGTCTCGAGTTATCCAATCACAAGTTATCCGCAAGTTTTTGCAGCAATCATTTGCATATCACTTGCCATAGAATCCTCATTAAAGGACCACTCTAGGCACCCAGACCACTTCAGCTTAATGAAGTGGTCTGGGTGCCAGGTCCCTCTAGGATTAACCCCTTTTTTATAAACATAGCAGTTTCAGAGAAACTGCTATGTTTATAAATGGGTTAATCCAGCCTCCAAATCCTCTAGTGGCTGTCTCATTGACAGCCGCTAGAGGTGCTCGCGTGCTTCTCACTGTGAAAATCACAGTGAAAAGACACAAGCGTCCATAGGAAAGCATTATGAATGCTTTCCTATGAGACCGGCTGAATGCGAGCAGCTCTTACCGCGCATGTGCATTCAGCCCAGGAGGAGGATCGGAGGCGGAGAGGAGGAGAGCTCCCCGTCCGGCGCTGGAATAAATGTAAGTTTAACCCCTTTCCTTTCCATCCAGCTCGTCCCGAGGGGGTCCCTGAGGGTGGGGGCACCCTCAGGGCACTATAGTGCCAGGAAAACGAGTGTTTTCCTGGCACTATAGTGGTCCTTTAACCCCTGCTAGTGTTTAAACAAAAAAAAAACGTGTGTGTGTGTGTGTGTATGTATATATATATATGTGTATATGTATATGTGTGTGTGTGTGTGTGTGTGTGTGTGTGTGTGTGTATATATATATATATATATATATATATATATATATATATATATATATATATTCATATTCATACTAAGTGTATTTTTATATTAATATAAAAATACACTTATAATTAAATTACACGTGTGTGTGTGTGTGTGTGTGTATATGTATGTATATAGTGTGTGTGTGTGTATATATATATATATATATATATATATATATATTATAAAATATAAATAAGTAATTTAAATTTTTTTTTAAAATAATAATAAAAATTGAAAAAAAAAATATATCTATATGAAATTTTATTCTAACTGTATTTTAAAATTAATATATATATATATATATATATATATATAAATAATACAAAATATACATATGTCCATATACAAAATTACATAAATAATTAAATATACACGTAGACTTCAAATATATAAATATGCATATATATTTAAATTCTACGTGCATATTTATGTAATATTTTTACATAATTAAGTAATTTTATTGATTGCAATTTGAGGGACCTGCCTGCCAACCCAGGCCAAAAGTCCAGAGAATTTAATTTGCTAGCACTGTATTTTACCCTGTAACGTTCTACGACACCCTAAAACCTGTACATGGGGGGTACTGTTTTACTCGGGAGACTTCGCTGAACACAAATATTAGTGATTCAAAACAGTAAAACATATCACAGCGATGATATTGTCAGTGAAAGTGACTTTTTTTGCATTTTTCACACACAAACAGCACTTTTACTGATGATATAATTGTTGTGATACGTTTTCCAGTTTTTAAACACTAATATTTGTGTTCAGCGATGTCTCCGAGTAAAACAGTACCCCCCATGTACAGGTTTTATAGCATTTTTGAAAGTTACAAGGTCAAATATATGGGTCAAATATTTTTACATTGAAAATGGCCAGGTTGGTTACGTTGCCTTTGAGAGCGTATGGTAGCCCAGGAATGAGAATTACCCCATGATGGCATACCATTTGCAAAAGAAGACAACCCAAGGTATTACAAATGGGGTATGTCCAGTCTTTTTTAGTAACCACTTGGTCACAAACACTGGCCAAAATTAGCGTTCAATTTAGTTTTTTTACTTTTTTCACACACAAACAAATATGAATGCTTACTTTGGCCAGTGTTTTCGACTATGTGGCTACTAAAAAAGACTGGACATACCCCATATTGAATACCCTGGGTTGTCTACTTTAACACCCCACATGTACATTTTTTTTTTTTATTCAGAGATTTATGACAGATAATAGTGTTACAATGCCACTATTGATAAATTTTAAAAATGTATGTTTTGAAACCGCAATATCCTACTTGTACCTATAGCCCTATAACATGCAAAAAAAGCACGTAAACACTGGGTATTTTTAAACTCACGACAAAATTTTGAATCTATTTAGCAGTTTTTTTTCATTGGCTTTTGTAGATGAGTAAAAGATTTTTCAAGTAAAAGTAAAAAAACATGTATTTTTTTTTTTTTTCAATTTTTCATATTTTTTTTAAAATTAAAATACAAGAGATTATATAAATAATGGTATGTAAAGAAAGCCCCTTTTGTCCTGAAAAATATATATATATATATAATTTGTATGGGAACAGTAAATGAGAGAGCGGAAAATTACAGCCAAAGACAAACACCACAAAAGTGTAAAAATATGCCTGGTCGCAAATGTACAACATCGCAAAAACAGTCCAGTCCTTAAGGGGTTAAAGAAAATTAATGTAAATAAAGCTCCGTAAGTAGAAGTATAGATCAGGGTGTTGCAGTGGATGTGATCTACTTGGATTTTGCCAAGGCATTTGATACGGTTCCTCACAATAGGTTTGTCTTCAAACTAAAAGAAATTGGTCTAGATGAATATTCTTGTTCTTGGGTAGAACATTGGTTTAAGGATAGAGTACAACGAGTTATCATTAATGGTAAATTTTCAGGCTGGATAAAAGTGGTAAGTGGTGTCCCTCAGGGTTCTGTTCTGGGACTGCTTCTATTTAGCATATTTATAAATGATCTTGAAATAGGCATTGAAAGCCATGTATCAGTGTTTGCAGATGACACAAAACTTTGTAACGTAATAAAATGTGAGCAGGATATTGCTTTGCTGCAGTGGGATTTGGATAGATTGGGGGACTGGGCACTAAAATGGCAGATGAAATTTAACGTAGAGAAATGCAAAGGAATGCACAAGCAGTTTACACCCTAAATGGTAGTGAATTGTTGGATAACCACACACGAGAAGGATTTGGGAGTTGTTCTAGACAACAAATTAGGCAGCAATGTCAATCTGCAGTTGCTAAGGCCAGTAAGGTTTTGTCATGTATAAATAGGGGCATAAATTCTCAGGATGAAAATATAATTTTGCCTCTTTATGAATCGCTGGTAAGACCACACCTTGAATATGCTGTGCAATTTTGGGCACCTGTTCTAAAGAAAGATGATATGGCACTAGAAAAAGTGCAGAGACGAGCTACAAAACTGATAAAAAAGAATTGAGGATTTTAGTTATAAAGAAAGGTTAAAGGGACATTAGTCACCTGAACAACTTCAGCTTAATGAGGTTGTTCAGGTGAGAACTATAGCTCCCTGCAGCATTTCTCATGTAAACACTGTATTTTCTGAGAAAATACAGTGTTTACATTGATAGCTAGGAACACCTCCAGTTGCAGTCACTCAGAGTGAACCAGAGGGACTTCGGAGTTGATGGAGGCATAATATGCCTCCATCCACTCAGATCTACTGTCAGCAGAGCACAGGGCAGCACTGTGCACAGCATCCTATGATTCATTATCTACTCCCTCTGCATGCAGGCACTGAACTTTCCTCATAGAGATTCATTGATTCAATTCATGTCTATGAGGAGATGCTGATTGGCCAGGGCTGTGTTTGAATCATGTTGGCTCTGCCCCTGATCTGCCTCCTTGTCAGTCTCAGCCAATCCTATGGGGAAGCACTGTGGTTGGATCAGGCTACCACATGTCAGCAGACTGCTTGTTTTTCGCAGTCTAACAGCATGCAGATTTACAGCTTCAAGCTTGAATACAGTAAGAGTTTTACTATATTTATGGAGGCATGAAGGGCCCAGGGGGGCTATTTGGTGGTGTTTAACACTATAGGGTCAGGAATACATGTTTGTGTTCTTGACCCTATAGTGATGCTAAAAAAAAAAAAAAATTCTGTTTAGTTTGGAAAAATGGTGCCTGAGAGGGGATATGATAAAATTATACAAATATATTCGGGGCCAGTACAAACCTTTATCTGGAAATCTATTCATAAACCGTGTTATACATAGGACACAAGGTCACACATTTAGGCTGGAAGAAAGGAGATTTTATCTAAGGCAAAGAAACTTTTTTTTACAGTAAGAGCAATAAGGATATGGAATTCTCTGCCTGAAGAGGTGGTTTTGTCAGAGTCACTACAGATGTTTAACCTGCAATTGGATAAATACTTGCAAAAACATAACATACAGGGATATAATTTCTAATTAGTGGAGTAATAGCTGCTTGATTCAGTGAGACATCTGACTGTTATTTTGGGGTCAAGAAGGCTTTTTTTCCTAGTTTGTTGCAAAATTGGAAGTGCTTCAAACTAGGTTTTTTGCCTTCTTTTGGATCAACAACAATAAACATATGTGAGGGAGGCTGAACTTGATGGGCGGAAGTCTCTTTTCAGCTATGTAACTGTGAGACGAGGCTGCGAGTTGAGGGTAGAAGGTCTGTGAGTTTAATGGTGCAGGTTGGATTTTTTTTTTTTTATACAACTTTTCAGGCCAGAGGAACAACTACTGGACCTGATTGGGCACAAGTACACAAATTGTACAGACCGATAGAAACAATGTAACAATGCCTGACACTCCCACATACAGCACACAATCCCTCCCCTCTGCCTGTGATACAATTAAGGTAAATAATGTGTTAACGTAATTATCCCCAAGCATAAAAAACACATATTTTACAAAGTCTCCTAAGTACCCCCAAAATACAATACATCCCCTGATAGCCCTGATCTGGGTGAACAACATATCCCAAAATCACCCAGACCAGAGCAGGGGTTCAAAAGTTTTATGGAAGTCATAATTTTGCGCAGGCATGGTCCCATGCCCAAAACAGTTCCATAGAATTAGGCTGTGTTAGAACAAATTAGAACAAACTACCGAACGGAGTCAAAAGTCTTACCCTGCAGCTTGTTCCCTTCATCCAGACGAATGTCACCGAACAGTGCCCTTCTAAGCTGAATAGAAACAAACGCAGGCGATGATGGAAGTCCAGCGGTGTTCGGGAGTTTCTGTATACGATTTCAGTTCCATGAGATTCAAGCGAACAAAATGACCGTCACCTCGTGGTTGTTCATAGGAATTGCAGCCACCCAGACAAACAATTAGAACACTGGTGAGAAACGTTCCAAGTGGTTAATAGGTGTTAACAAGCTCCAGGGTGGTCTCTGGTCGTGCGGTTGTTCGTTAAACTAATCATATAGTCCCAATTGCCCGAACAGATCATGTTTGAAGTATATTAGTCAATTCTATTGCAGGGGCCTTAGTCACAGGGTTAAAGGCTGGCAAGTAGTCCTCTCCAAAGCCCAGTGGTGAAGTGGCTTTCGTCACACACCTTCTCTTCCTGGGGGAGACTAACCAGGTACCTGACCTTCTGTCGGTCGGTGCCTGAGTTAGTCGAGCAACCTACCCACCCACAAGCAGCAAGTACTGGACCTGGGGACTCCTGTAGTCTGTCTCGGTTCTGTATGGCCCCAAGGGTTACGTGGACCTTTGGTATTCCCTGTTTTTTAGGCTTGAGTTGGAGTAACCTGGCAGGTAGAGACCAACGGTGCTCTGTCCAGTTACCAGCGGTTCTCCTGGGAAAATGGGTACATAGTCCTGCCATGTAACAAGGGGGAAGTTAGAGCAGAGGCCAGCAGTGCTCTGCCCTGATGCCAGCTCTTCTGCTGGGAGGGGACCGGTGGGGTTTGCATTTACTGACCCCAGTACGTGAGGACGTCCAGCGTCAGATAACGGACAAAAGGTCTATTCCAAACCAGCAAGCCCTCTCGTGGCTGTCTTATAGACTGTAACTGCAATAATTACTATTGTTGGGTTATAGGACATTGCATTGCAATGGGCTGAAGTGGTCTGGGTGCCTACAGTGTCCTTTTAAAAGGAAACACATAACATCCAAGTTCTTGAACCTGTGGGCCTGGGTGACTTCATGCCTTATCAAAGATGGTGGAGAGAACTCCTATGTTTAAATAGGCCATCTAACCATTGTAGTTGTTATGGTGTTTGCAGACCATTGCATTGGTGTGTCTCCTTATTTTCAGCAAATAGGCACAAACCCATGCTCCTCAGGGCAATTTTAGTTTTTGTCCATATTGGACTGGCACTCTCAGCAAACCAATGTCCTCTACAATGCTGATCCCTCTTCTTCTTATGCTTTTCCCTTTCACTGTGTCTCTCGGCAGGTCCTGGAACGCTCCAGGGATGTGGTGGATGAGGTCAGTGTCTCTCTGCGTCTGTGGGACACATTCGGGGATCACCATAAGGACAGAAGGTTTGCATACGGCAGGTGAGTTTCTGTGTCTGGGGAGGAGATATGCCGCCCCTTTGATCCTGGCCTCTTTATCAGTGATGTCAGTTCTGCCTGAGATTTATCAGAATTTGGTGTTCGAGCATGTCCGCTGGTGCCATCTGCAAGAATTCTCTATAAATAGGGAATAAATCCATGGAGAAGGCTGGACTGCGGGTGCCCTGAGGACTCCAAAAGTTGTCAAACCGTTGAAAAATGATTTGACTACTTACTGTTTGTTGCCAAGGGTAATCTTGAACCACACCACTAGAGCCAACTTTGATGTTTTATTGGGTATTCTAGGGGCTTAGAATACCTGCTTACTCTGTAAACATCTTAATTCACTATATGTATTTTTCTTGTAATGAAAATATTATTCAGATTTTTGCACAGCTTGTGCCTGTCTGATGGCCGTTCCAGTCATACTGTATCCCACCATTCAAGTCATGCATACTAATCAAATATCGGCACATTTTCAACATCCTGTCCAGGTAGGGCGAGTTCCGCCATTACTGAACGCTACAACAAAATATCCAGTGACAGTGGGACTTGACACAGACTATTTTGAAGGTCTCCAGTAAAATTTATAGGGATTATGTGAAGGTCTCCAGTAAAACCTATAGGGATTATGTGAAGGTCTCCAGTAGAACCTGTAGGGATTATGTGAAGGTCTCCAGTAGAACCTGTAGGGATTATGTGAAGGTCTCCAGTAGAACCTGTAGGGATTATGTGAAGGTCTCCAGTAGAACCTGTAGGGATTACGTGAAGGTCTCCAGTAGAACCTGTAGGGATTATGTGAAGGTCTCCAGTAGAACCTGTAGGGATTATGTGAAGGTCTCCAGTAGAACCTGTAGGGATTATGTGAAGGTCTCCAGTAGAACCTGTAGGGATTATGTGAAGGTCTCCAGTAGAACCTGTAGGGATTATTTTTACTGGTCGGACTGTCCGGATTCCTGATATTCCCAAAACCCAAGTGAATTCTTGATGAAATGCAAAAGTGTCCTGGTTATATCAATCCCTTTTACTGCCACTAACCTATCAATGTATTGATACATGCCATTTATTTAAAATATGGTTTTCTGATCTGAACCTTATGATTCAGCGACTGTTTTACTGTTCAAAAGACTCCGATTATTTTTTTGATAATAAATGTGTGCTATTTGTACGTTAAATTACAAATCCACATGACTTTAAAGTAATCATTGTATTGACTGTTCAGAAATAGTGTGGTAACATATTGATTTGTTTGTAAAAATAAATTGAACTTGTGTTTCATGTCTGGTTTGATTTTTCCATCATTGTATAATTAGGATTGCCCCTGCATGTCTTGCCCAAGAAGCTAGCACTCTAGAATTTGCAGTGACCCTTTCTGCAAGGTCTGTGATCTGTCATCTCCCTTTCCCCATTGGCTTCTGGTAAATTCCTCCCTGTGTGAGGCCGTTAAAGGCTAATTGCTTCTTGTCTGGAGCCTAGCCAGCAATCCTGTTAACTTGTCCAGAGCTTGGCTCATCTTTTGGACTCACAAGATGTTTGGCTGTCTCTCTCACATGCCATAATGTGTGTTAATCACTCCCTAATCACTCTGCCCTCTTCCTCAACCTGTAGTGTGAGAAAACTAATACTGTGCCCCTCCACGTGTCAGGATCTCTGTATTCCACAGATTTGGAATACACTGCTCCTTCTGTTGTTGTTCCTCTGTCTGGCTCCTCAGTTACCCTACTGTGCCTCCTGTAACCCCAATATTACCACGTCTATTCCCTGTAACTGCTGATATAGCTCATTCCAGGACCCTACATACAAATCCCTGGAGGCTCTCTCTTGATCTGGGTGACTGTTACAAGTACAGAGTATGTCCTCTTTACTCCATTACTGGGATACAGGTACAGAGTATCTCCTTTTCTCTATTACTGGGATACAGGTTCAGAGTATTACCTTACCATAAGCATGTTTTGTTATGAGTTTATACAGTATATTTCTGGATGCTTTAATTTTTGTTTTGACTTTTTTTCCACCCCACAGATCGGACGTGGTGGTTCTCTGCTTCTCCCTGGCCAATCCCTACTCTTTGCGCCATGTTAAGAGCATGTGGTTCCCAGAGATCAAACATTTCTGTCCTCGTACTCCTGTGGTGTTAGTTGGGTGCCAGCTGGATTTACGTTATGCAGATTTGGATGCTGTGAATCGCGCTCGACGACCCTTGGCAAAGTGAGTTGGATGAGATGCGCTAATTTACTAACGATTTCCCAGGATCCCCTCTCAAGTAAGCTCTTCATATGTGGTGTTTATACAGATATTTAGCTCTCTGTGACATGCAGTCTACCACTTACACAGCTCAACAAAATTATTAATCTGTGCAAAATGCAGAAATTTGATATTGTGATATTCCCAGAACTGCTGTTCACAGTGAAGGATCCTGTGGCTGAGAATCGATGGGAGCTTATCAGAGCTCCCCAATTGTTCAAGTTGAAACTGCACATTATGATAAGACCCTCGGGGCAATATTAAAGGACCACTCTAGGCACCCAGACCACTTCAGCTTAATGAAGTGGTCTGGGTGCCAGGTCCAGCTAGGGTTAACCCATTTTTTTTTTATAAACCTAGCAGTTTCAGAGAATGGGTTAATAAATGGGTTAATCTAGCCTCTAAAGCCTCTAGTGGCAGTCTCATTGACAGCCGCTAGAGGCATTTGCGTGCTTCTCACTGTGAAAATCACAGTGAGAAGACGCAAGCGTCCATAGGAAAGCATTGTAAATGCTATCCTATGAGACTGGCTGAATCACGCGCAGCTCCTGCCGCGCATGCGCATTCAGCCGAGGAGGAGGAGAGCTCCCCGCCCGGCACTGGAGAAAGGTAAGATGTTAACCCCTTCATCTCCCCAGAGCCTGGCGGGAGGTGGTCCCTGAGGGTGGGGGCACCCTCAGGGCACTATAGTGCCAGGAAAACGAGTATGTTTTCCTGGCACTATAGTGGTCCTTTAATATTGTTGGCCACAAATTTCATCCTGTAGTTAATGCAGAGTACAGCAAATACATTTTTCACAAACGACAAACATCATTTAGTTTAATTAATTTTTAATGCTTTGTCTGTGACCCCTTACCTAGAAGTAATGAGTATGAATGCCGAAAGCACCATGGATAAGGATGACCTATAAAGAATTTAAATAAAATGTACTGAAGATGGTATGTAATTATAAGTAGAGTTAGCAATAAAACGTTATGATTCTAAAAATCATTCATCTCAATCTCTCTTCTTCCTCACCTTCCCTCCATCTCAATCTCTCTTCATCCCTGTGGCGGAACAGCTGTCTGTTCGTGGGTTTCCAGTCTCTTTTACCTATGTTTCCTCTGTATTTTCGTTTCTTGCCCCCACTTCCCGTTGGGGAGTGCTTCCCCGAAGGGAATTCATTCGTCTCCCGAACGGGGCCCACCTCAATATCTCATTTAGAATGTTCACACCACGCAACATAAGTGTCAAAACCGCAAGGGAAACCATTGAGTGCTTCCCTGGGTGGCCGCCATTCGTACAGGCCAACGCCACCAAGGGGAGAATTCGTGGATTGTTTCCCGACTCGTTCGTCTCCCGAATGAGGACCTTCCTGGTGCCCCATTGGAATGTTCACACCAATTAATCAGAACGTTCGCACTCGCAACATAGGTGAGACATTTCAAGGGTAGTAATAATGAGTGCTTCCCTGCATGGCTGCCATTTGTATAGACGAGCGCCGGCCAGGGGGAGCATTCATCTCCAAAAAGGAGACGTTTCACACCAGGACCTCGCGAACAGAAACTGGTTGATTTTAAGGGACCTAATCGAGGGTCCCTGAGATTGGTGTGGGCACTTTTGGGGCACTGGCAAGTATAGCTGGCTCTCATGAGCCTGAGGGACAAAGAGATCAGCTCTTTTCCTGCTGGCAGGCTTTTCTGTGGTGACGGTCTGTTTTTCCGCGCCTAAACTCTCCGGCACGGAGGCTCTTGGGAAGAAGACCCCTGGCGGTTGATGTGGGAATCCCTGTTGGTTTAGTGGCGGGCTTTGGGGACAAAGGGAGCAGAGTCCCTTTCTGCGCTGGGACTCCAGGGAGGGGGAGGATCTTGGGATGTGTCCTTGCATGTTTGTGTGGTAAACCCCTTGCACAGGGTTATGCATAAAAGCCGTAAGTGGCCAATACAATTGTGTTATACCTCCTGGACTGTGTGTCGTTCAGTTACTGGGGGGAAATGGGTCTCATTCTCTAACTGGTTCCCGACTAGCTGAAGGAAGGGAACTATTGGAGGTAACCAGCCGGGCTACCCTGAGTCCGCAACAATCCCCACCTTCCCTCCTTCTCAATCTCTCGTCACCCTCACCTTCCCTCCTTCTCAATCTCTCGTCACCCCCACCTTCCCTCCTTCTCAATCTCTCGTCATCCCCACCTTCCCTCCTTCTCAGTCTCTCGTCTTCCCCACCTTCCCTCCTTCTCAGTCTCTCGTCTTCCCCACCTTCCCTCCTTCTCAGTCTCTCGTCATCCCCACCTTCCCTCCTTCTCAGTCTCTCGTCATCCCCACCTTCCCTCCTTCTCAGTCTCTCGTCATCCCCACTGTGACGAAAGTAGCCCCTGTAGCAGATTGTGTTAAGACTGTCCTTAGGAATTCATATTGAAAATGTATTTGTGTAATTGTTTCCCTGTATGTCTGTAAATGTATGAAGTTTTCGTATGATTGTTTGGTACCGAACCATCAGACCACCCCAGTGAGAATTGTGCACCTCGTTAAGCGTTCACACTCTGCAAACAGCAGTCTAATTGTATGTGCCTGTGTGGGCGCCGTTCGGCATGCGAACCACGTGTGCCGGCCATCTTACGCATGAAAATCTCAGCGGTGTTTGGTCGTCGAGTGTCTGGAACTCAAATCGGACACTCAAACAACTGAACACCACTGAGACCTCCAGAGTTCCATAACTCCCAAAGGGAGGGACTAGTCAGCCCCCCGTTCGGTAAAATCAATGTCCTGAACAAGGCAATTCATACGAATGGAAGATTAGCTGTGGATGGCAGGTATTTCTATGTGTTTTAACTCCCGAACAGAGACCGACCGCAAGGCCAAAACACATGGAGCCTTTTTCGGATACCACCTTGTGTGCGGTCGGTCAAATTACACCCTCCACCTAACTCCCGAACCCCTGGACCGATCTGGGTGAATTTTGGATATGTTAGTCACCCAGATCAGGGCTACCGGGGGTACCCAAAGTATTATTATAACTGCTTGTTTTGGGGTACATCCAGAACTCGTGGAAAACTACAGCATGTTTAATGGGATTAGGTGAGGGGAGGAGATGTGTGGGAGGTAACTGTGACATTATTGGTTACTGTCCTGATTAATGTGAATCCCTCCCTTGCATGGGAGAATGCTTTATAAGGAGGTTGTGTGGATTAAAAGTCAGTTCTGATGCTGTGTGTCGTCCAGTCATTGGGATCTGTATGGGAATGGATTACCTTGCTTGCTGGGATTAATGCTCTATGGTGTTATTACTTGTTCCTGAGCCTCACTGGGATCATGCCAGGATTACTGTTTGATCCATCACGTAGAACTGTACAGCACGGATGACAAATAAGTAACGTATTACCGGTCCTTAGAATGGCCGGATTTAACGTACAAAGAATAGTCAAAAATACTAGCCGAGGTCAGGGAACACAGAAAGGGACACAGTGATGAGGAAAGCCAGGAGTCAAGATACCAGAATATAGAGAAGTCAATAAACAAAGCCAAAGTCAAAAACCAGGTAGAAAACTATAAACAGGAACGCGCTTTCAGACAACCACAAGGGAAACCACGACAGGGCACTGAGCAGGCTGAGAACTGGGCCTAAATACCCCTCCTTTAGTTCTGATAGGCTGTAACCGGCTTTTGACCCCAAAGTCAGTTACCAGGTTTCATTTGCATAATTGCTGCTCAGCATTAACCCTTCTGTGGATTAGGTTGCTGCTCGGCACAACTTTTCCTGTGTGGACAGTAAATGTCATTAATCCCTTTTCTCTAAGCGGATGAATACATGACACCAGGTTTCATTTGCACAATTACTTCTCAGCATTAACCCTTCTGTGGATTAGGTTGCTGCTCGGCACAACTTTTCCTGTGTGGACAGTAAATGTCATTAACCACATTTCTATAAGCGGATGAATATGTGACAGATCTTTAGTGGAGTTAACCTGTGAAATACCAGCTCTCCGCTACAGCCTAGTCACTGATTATTGGAGGGACCTGTTTGCCAGCCTCCTGCCCAGTGACTATGCCCTTGTGGTAACCTATGTTTAAAATACTATTGGTGCCTGTTGGAACTTGTAACAGAAACCATTCGAACTTTCGAAGTGGCATTCGAACTCCCAAAGCCATTCAAAGTGGCATTTGAAAACATGGCGGCAGCCATCTTGTTTAGTTGAACGCATCCAGCGGTGTTTGGTCATAGAGTGCATGGAACTCAAATCGGACACTTGACGGCACAAACATGGCTAAAACTTTACCTTCCATGGAGGTTCAGCTATTCGAACGGTGTTCAGTAAGAAGATGCCCCAGAACAAGAGTCATACACTAACTATATATCCACGAACAGCTTCCTTAGGTAATTCGAACGTTATTTCGGACACTCGAAGTAGACCGGCCGCACAGCCTGATTCGCTGGAACTGTTTTGGGCATGAAATTATGCATGCGGTCAGGTCAAAATTGGACTTCCATAGAATTCCTGAACTGATCTGGTGGGACTTTCATTTATTTCTTCACCATGGTTCCCTTGGACTGAGAGACCACCAGAATCCGCTGAGTAGAGTTCCTTCATTTGCAGGCGAGGTAACATCGTAAAACTCTTCCGAAGTCGGAGCTGGAATGTAAGTTAGGGTACGACCAACAGTAGATTTGTTTTTACATAGAGAGGTTAGTAGACATGAGAAAAATCTAAAGGTTAGAAAAATGGCTATAATAACAAATACAGCTAATAGCAAAAAGTACAACATTTTCTTAATTAGTAAAGTCAACCATGTTCCTAGCCCAAATGTCCAATCCCAATACTCAAAGAAGCCAGTATCCTGTACTAAGTCATGTAAATCTTTTATATGTTTATAGATCATAGTGCCATGGTCAGATAGGTTAAAACAGCACATACCTTCAATAGCTTCACAGCCTTAGTCATGTTTCATTAGTAAGTAGTCAATGGTTGCTGTATTCTCAAGGATTTCCTTATTATTTGCCTGGGTGTCCATAAGTAGCTCTTCTAGGAAGTGACATTTAAACCCTTTGCAAGGGAACAGGCTACAGCATTAATTGTAACAGTTGTAGTTGTAGACAGCTAGAATAAATGAAAAGAGGGCCGCAACCTAAGGGTATGATGTTCCCTCACAAACCACCAGAAGAAAATAGAAACGTGGAGACAGGAAATTATAGGTCGCGCCACACAAATGATATAATAAAACCATTGCGTACTTACATAAAATGCTAACAGAGGAACAGAGTCCTGAATAAAAGTATATGAATAAAATAGTCCAAGTTGATTGAATAAATGAACGAATATAGTAGATCTTATAAATTCTGAAATAATCCGATGTCCAGGTGACGTGGAGGCATGCAAATAAGAGAAAGTTCCAATAGTTTAAACTGTAGTATAAAGGTGAAATATGATCGTAGTAGTAATCCTCCTACTCACCTATTCGAGAGCTAGAGCCAGCTCAAGTGTGAACAGCATATAGTGGCGTTGATCCCTCACTGGTAGGATATACGTGTTGGTAGGTGGTGAAGATCCTCGATATGTGGAAAGAGAAATTCAACCAAATAGTGCTCTCTGTATGCAATAACCGGAGGTTGGTAATTTAAAGGTATAATACTCTCATGCAGGTGCAGATATGCTGCTCACTTTAATAGCGTGGGTGATATAATCCCTACCTAGGATTCTTGAGTGAGTGGATGTTTCAGAGTTTTTTGAATGACCAGGTTAAAAAATAAATAAAATAATATAATACATGTGACAGATCCATCTGTATAACCTGGGATTACTGGTTCGTCTGTTTTGCCGTTTTTGTGGAATTACTCATTCGTATGCATCTGTTCGTATAATTGATGTTTTTTGCCGAACAGAACTACCGAACGGACGGCCACCCAGAAGAGAAGTGTGCTGCTGGTTAACCTCTTGATCCCAATTAGAACATTCTGGTTAACCGCAGACACTTCTCGATTAAAACCGAATACAGGGTGGTCGTCGTTCGTATGTCGACCACAAGGCGGCGGCCATTTTAAACCATGCGAAAGACCAGCGGTGTTTGGCATTGATTTCATGGAACTGAAAACTGACACTTTTCCTGCCAAACACCGCTGAAGCCGCCGACCTCCCTTCTCAATTGACAGAAGTACACGAACACCGGCTGTTCGGGAGTTTGAAACGCACGAATGTACTTAACCCAGATAGCCTTCCCATGGAGTCAATCGCATACCGAAAGACTGTAATAGACTTTGACTCCATGGCGATTGAACTATACGTATGGGATCTGAGCGCTATTCGCCAATAATATGCACTCAGATCCAGGCTATCTGGGGATATGTGATACGAATGGGAAATGTTCGACAATTGTAAAGTTAGATATTTTTATGTGTTTTTCTGTGTTGGATTTAAAATGGCGATTTGCCTCTGTCCTGGAGATAATTGAATTACTTCTCAATTATCTCCAGGGCAGAGGGGAGGAAAGCATAATGCATGCTGGGAATATTCTGTGTCTGTGGGTCCTAACCTGCCATATGTCTGTCTATTGTTAGTCTCCCATTTGGTCCCCTAGGGGAGCGTCCACCAAGTGGGAGACCTGCATAAATACGGGCAAGTAGCCCACAGTAAAGCCAGTTCATGTTTTACTCTCAATGCGGAGCTTGGTCTCGTTATTGGGGGGATTTATTACCGACGACTAGAGACTGCCGGATGGGATTATTAGCCGCTTGGGAGATATATGCGTTCGGCTACTATTGGCGATTCGTGAGTTTGGAGCTCGTGAAGTGCCCGTACGGGTCCCGTTCGTGAGATTACAGCGTTCCCCCTGCTTGCGGTTCGTATGATTGTACTTGATACGCATGAAGCCTGTGTTATTGCGAGAGGGGAGGATTCACTAAACGTGGGTTTGTGCATTTGATGCGGAGGGTACCATAACAATACAAAAAAGGTATATGGCATAGGCAAAGTATCAGTGACCAAAATTCCTTTAATGATATAGATTAAAAAGGGTAAGAACAGTAAAAAAACAAACAGGCAAAACGCGTTTCGCCACACAGGGCTTCATCAAATGGCAATAAAACTTTAAGTTTTGGTACAAATTATAGTGGTGTTCAGGGCTCTACAATTCGTGGTAATTTTTGTTTGTCATATGGTGGCAGTACCATCGGGTTTTGCTCCTCCCTGTGGACAAGACATCTAACAAGGAATTAATGTTCAAAAGGACCCTCCCCCTTGCCCCATAAAACGCTGTACCGCAAAACCTACCCCAGTTTCCTTTCTTGTCCCGAGAGAGGAGGACACGACATCCATAGCGTGAGACACACGGGTTGTCTGTATGGGGGGCCTGGTCCAAGAGCTGCCCGGGCGGTAGGCTGAGAGACCATTCTCCTGACCGGCAAGGTTATGGAGCAAGTGGAGGTTAGTCTATTTATGCCGAGAATGGTTCCGGCAATGCTTCCTGGAGGCGGAGTTTGTCCTGAGCAGGCGCACAGCAGTGGTATGCACTCCCGGGTGGTGTTCCGTTCCACCTAAGCTTCCGGGTGCGCTAAAACGCATGTGCAGACCGGAAGCTTAAAGAGACAGATCAAAAAAAAAAAGCGGAAATTTGAATGCAGGTGTATAAACAGAGAGCTATGCAGGTCAGAAGAGGTACGCCGTGTCACCTGCCCCCCACACGGCTCAGAGGTATTTTGAGGTAAGATTAAAGAAATCTTTACTTTAAAATATGCTCTGGAAAATTTTAAAGGAAATATGAAACAATCTAAGCCTCCATTTATTTTTTTTCTCCACAGATCTGTCTAGCCCAGCTTATCCTGATATGGACAAGGAAAAACTGGCAACCTGCATGCCTAGAAAGGCTTCGGCAAAATCAAAACATCTAGTTTGCAGTGGGTGTGCAACTCCTCTTCCAGACGGATCAAGGAAGAAGGTATGCAGTCCGTGTACTGCAAATTCTTTGGAAAGAGATAAGCAAAAAGTTATGCAATCTTTCCTAACCTCGTTCCAAGAAAATCTGGCCTAGACCTTGGAGACTATTAAAGAGTCTAAAAAGGTGGAATCCCCTATACAGCAAGGCCCTCAGAGAATCAAGAAAAGATCATCTACATCTGAAACGTCATCCGGGGAATATTTTTCCTCAATAGATTCAGACGGGTCAGGATCCTCATCAAGTAAACCAGTGGGGTTTCCTTCGGATGAAATTCATAAAGGAAGTTAACCTGACAATCCTACCAGAAGGTCCGGAGAATCCTAAAGGGTTTTCTGTTCAACAAACCCTGGTAGATCTAATATTCAGGAAATGGCGAAACCCTGAGAAATGTGCCTTTTTATCCAGACACTTTAAGGATATCTTCAGACTGGTTGGCTAAGTAATCTGGGAAGATCTCCCTAAAGTAGATGTCCATGTGGCGCAGATTGCTAAAAAGACCACTATCCCTATTAGGGAAACTTCGGCTTTAAAAAATCCAATGGATAAAAGAGCCGAAACATCTTGCAGGCGAGCTTACCAGATGGCCGGATTTCAATGCAGGGCTTTACTGGCAGGAGCAGCAGTTGCCAGAGCAAATTGCATTTGGTTAAACATGGTACACGATATTTTATCTTCTGACCAAGGTAGAGAGCTTAGTCACATGTTTCAGAACATGCGTGTGACGAGAGCAATCTCGCCACATTGCATTGGAGAAGACTGGTTGCTCGCCTGCTGCCTTTGGACTATGGTCCCATGTTAAAGACATCTTTTTTTTTTCCCCTGCAGAAAAGACTTATTCATGCTTTTCTGCCTGGTGTTCGGTAGATTCAATCTACCGAACAACCGCACGAATGGCTAGACCACCTGGGAGCTGGAGTGTGCCGGCAATTAGCCTCCCTGAAGCTGCTGTTAACCGCAGCTTAATTGACGAATGCTGGGTGGCCGCCATTCGTATCACGAACACGAGGTCGCGGCCATTTTAAACATGCGAACGTACAGTGGTGTTCGCTTAATTCATGGAACTAAAATCGGACACAGTTTTGCGCGAACACCGCTGAAGCCGCCGACCTCCCTTCTTGTTCGGTGGAAGTACACGAACGGCCGGTGTTCGGTAGTTTTACTTGTCTATGTTATACCCCAGATAGGAATCCCATGGAGCCCATTCGCATGAGAACTGACTGTGTAAAGACTTTGGCTCCATGGCGATTACACTGTATTCATGTGGTCTGAGCGCCATTCGCTTAATAATGTGCGCTCAGACCTGAGCTATCTGGGGACATGTTAAATGTATAGTTTTATTGTAATGTGTCTCACATAGTGTATTTTAATAGTAATTTGTGTTGTAGTATCCCCACGTGCATAATGGCGATTTGCCTTTGTCTTGGGAGATAATTGAATTACTTCTCAATTACCTCCAAGGCAGAGGGGGAGGAAGCCAGGATGCATTGTGGGAATATAATGTGACTGTGTGTCCTATTTGTCAACTTGTCTGTCTTTTGTCACAGTCTCCTATTTGATCCCCTAGGGGAGTGTCCACCAGGTGGGAGACCTGCATAAATACTGAGCAGGTAGCCCTCATTAAACTGTTCACTGCTTGACCCTCAACACGGAGCTTTGTCTTGTTCTTGGGGGGATTTATTGTATGCTGTTCCAGTTTGACTGCTAGGAGTGTAAACCTATTCGTATGGTTTTTCCTATTTGGCTGTTTACAGCATTCATATGGTTTCCTGTTCGGCGGATTGGTGTTCTGCAGTAGCTGTGCCTGCATCTCTGGAAAGGGGGACGATTGCCTAAACGTTTTTTACCCTTTGTGCGCAAAACAGTTCGTTACAATGCGCTTGTCTAATGAATATCTGTTGGATATGTCGGTAGATGTTCTTAAGTTGGCATCCAGAATTATGGGATTGTCATCGGTAGCAAGACGAGCCTTATGGTTAAGGTCATGGACGGCGGATTCAGCTTCCAAATCAGTCCCTTTGTGAGCTTCCACTAGAAAAAACAAAATTATTTGAGGCTCCTTTAGAAGGAATTATTAAGCAATTGTCAGAAACCAAAAAGGCTCTTCCTCAAGATAAGAAGTTCTCCTGGAGATCGGGTTACAGGAATTACCAGTATAAATACAGGAGATCATATCAAGAGAGAGCGCATTTCTTTCAAAGAAGGGATAAAAATCATAGAGTTAAACAAAGAGGTGATGTTAAAAGATCCTTCAGAGACAAAGATAGACGTTTCTGACGCCAGAAGTGTGGGAGGAAGACTCCCAACGGTTTTTTCAGGCATGGGAAAGAACCACACGCAATCCTTTGGTTCTAAGTCTTATCCAGCAGGGACACGATTATATTCACAGAGAAACCAAGAGCAAAATTTCTGGTATCAACTTACCAGTCTTCAAAAGATCACAAGCCCTATTTTCTCAAACCATGCTACTTTTGCAAAAAAGGGTGATAGAGAGAGAGTACCAGTAAAGCAAAGATTTCGGGGAGTTTACTCAAGATTATTCCTGGTTTCAAAACCAGACCACTCTCTTTTTTTTTTTTTAATTTATTTATTTATTTATTTTTTTCGTCCCATTTTGGATTTAAAAAAACATAAACCGGTTTATCCTTTATCAAAGGTTTCGCATGGAATCAATCGCTTCTATTTTTCCTCTTCTACAAAGAGGCGACCTTATGGTAAAAATAGACTTTAAGGATGCTTATCTGCATGTTCTAATTGCTACCGCTTCAAGGAAATTTCTAAGATTTGCAATAAAAAGAGGAAGATCCGGCGATCATTTCCAGTTCAGGGCTCTGCCGTTTGGTCTGTCATCCGCCCCAAGGATATTTACAAAAATCTTGACTCCTGACAGCTCATTTGAGAATATCGATTATCCCATATCTGGACGACTGGCTTCTCATGGCACATACAGAAGAACAGCTGCTCAAGGACCTGCAGGTCACTATCCGATTTCTTCAAAACCACGGTTGGATCTTGAACTTAAAGAAGTCAGTTCTCATTCCAACAAGAGAAATAGTTTCTCGGATTCAGAATCAATTCAGTCTCCCTGTCAATTCATCTTCCCAAACGAAAAAGGAGGAAAATCTTGCCCATTTGGCTGCTTTTCCAGCAGTCAAATGGGCAAGATCAGAGGTCAGACCACTACAATGGAACATTCTGACAACCTGGTCAAAAAAGGAGGAAGATTTAGACAGAAGGTTCTTGTTATCCCTTCAGGTAAAGACTCTGCTTACTTGGTGGAAAACCTCAGAGTGCCTTTCAGGAGGATTATCTTTTCATCCAAAAGACTGGATAATAGTCCCTACAGACGCTTCAAAGACAGGTTGGGGAGCTCATTTGGGCACCACCATGTTCCAAGGAATATGGTCAGTCAGGGAGGCTAAAGAATCCAGGGAATTACTAGTAGTTCTTTACGCTCTACATTACCTCAGGCCTTGGGTACAACAAAAAGCGGTGAAGTTTCAATCAGACAATCGTACAGTAGTCTCATATATCAATCACCAAGGAAGATCCAAAGTAAAGAATCTTTACAGTCTTTGTGCAGAAATTATGGAGTGGTCACAAAAAAATCTGGAAGACATTGCGGCAGTCCACATAAGAGGGAGCGACAATGTAATAGCCGACGATCTAAGCAGAGGCAAGTGGGATCAAAAAGAATGGTCTTTGAACCCGGAAATATTCTGAATCCTGGCTGAAAGATTTGGATTTCCGGAAGAAGACTTGATGGCAAGAGCTTCGAACACAAAGGTTTACAGCTTCGCCTCCCTATTCAGAACAGATCAACCCAAATGGATAGACGCTCTATCAATAAACGTCAGTCTGGCTTACGTGTCTTCACCTCTGCCTTTAATCCCAAAGGTCCTTCTCAAGATAAGAACAGACAGAGCGAGAGTATTGGCAATAATTCCATATTGGCCAAACAGAGTCTGGTTTTCGGCTTTAAAGAAGATGACCATCGCTCATTGGGAACTTCCCATATCAAACTTTCTCATTGTGAACAGAGACCTGCCCTTGGAAGTTCTAAAAATATTCAGGTTGACTGCTTGGCTACTGCAAGGCTAATCCTTTGTAACCAAGGTTTACAAGAAGACAGAATAGCGGTCTTACTTCACGCTACCAGGAAGTCTACGTCTAAGATATACTTTAGGATTTGGTCTAAGTTTCTCCACTGGTGTAAGGAACACCAGTGCCTTGTTTTACATCCATCCATAGATGACATTCTCCATTTTTTTTACAAGACGGATTTGCAGCTGGTCTGGGAGATTCCACGCTCAAAGCTCAGATATCCGCCTTAAGTTTTTTTCTAACTAAGGATTTGGCCTCCAATATTTTCATCATAAGATTTATTTTTTTTAGGTCCATCAGCCTCAAACGTCCTCCTAGACGATCGGAGTTTCCAACTTGGGATTTAGCCCTGGTCCTACAAGCTCTTAGTGTTCATCCCTTCGAACCTTTGGAAGAAGTTCCGTTAAAAAATTTCTCTCTTAAAGTTTCATTCCTGGTAGCCATCACATCGGCTAAAAGAGTGGGAGAACTTCACGCTCGGTCCTCCTCGGATGTATTTACTATTTTCCACAAAGACAAGGTTATTCTTTATCCAAGACAGTCTTTTCTACCTAAAGTTTTGTCTTCAAAGAATATTAATCAGCCGATTGTTTTACCTTCGTTTTGTAGCGAAGCCTCATCTCCTCAAGAGCTCAAATGGCAGAAATTGGACATCAGAAGAGCTTTACTTATATATCTAGCCAGAACGAAAGAATTCAGAATTTCGGATCATCTGTTTATTAATTCTCAAGGTCACTTCAAGGGGAATGTGGCTTTCTGCGGCACCTTATCCTGTGGGCTCATTCAAGCTATAGAACTGGTGTACGCCGTAGCTTGGTTGGGGTTTCGCCGTCCTCCACCCACCCTGGACCCAAGACCGGGTCCAACCTGATGGAGTAGTATGCTATTGGTCTTTGTTTACCATAAAAGGACAGATGTAGCATTTTTTTTTTTGCTGCAAGGGTTAATTTAAAGGGTTTGTTTTCTACAATGCATGTAGATTGCTGCAGAGCGTATCCAAGGTCGACAGTATGAAACGCAGCTGGGCGGGGGGGTATAATATTTTGAAATGCAGTTTTTCTACTTTCCGTGAGATGTTTTGTGCCATGGGAAATACAGTGTCCTAGGAAAATAACTTTTTCAACACATGCGTGCAGTTTTGCTTGTGCCCGAAATTTCAGCAAAGAAAGAGTGTTTACATTACAAGTTATCATATCTTTGCAACATATCTTCAAGAATCTGGGCCATATCCATGCTGTGCATAGTGGGTGAGTTTTGTGCGCCCTGTGGAAATACTGTCCAAGTGTACTGCTTGTGTTTGTGTAAATGCAAATAAATACTGTCGGAAACCAGGGGGACACTGAAAAAAATGCATTTGCCAAGTCAATAACCGTAAATACCTTAGAGGAAGGTGGTGTCTGTGCCAACAAGGTGTGTGGGTTGGAACATTAGGGGCAATGAGTTCAATGAAGGCATTAATTGCCCTCAAATCATGTACCATAAGGTAGACCACAGGTTTCCCTTTATCTTGCTTTTTCTTAATTGGGTACAATGGTGTGTTACATGGCGAGGTGGTCTGGACAATTACCCCTGCCTGCAGTAACACTTGGGAAATGGCATCTTCCTGTGCTGGGCTTAGGGGGTATTGTTTTTGATAGGGAGGGGTGGTTCTGGGCAGGAGATTCACTTTGACTGGGGGCACAGAGAGTCTGTCTGTATATGTCTTCCCTGTAGCCCATAGAGAATCAGGGACTGAGGACTAGTCAATGGTAGGTTCTGGCACATGGCTGGGCATAGTGAGAGTTGCCAGAACATTTGAAAGAGAGATAATTTGTTTGTCCTCCAAAGGCACAGTGTTTGTTTCAAAACCATTCATCTGTCTTTACTTGTTGCGTCTTCTGAGACGATCATAATGGGCATCCGTATATTTAACGATTATTCTAGCTTTTAGGGCGACAATTTGTTTAATCCCTTAAGGACACAACTTCTGAAATAAAAGGGAATCATGATGGAATATTTCAGTCATGTGTCCTTAAGGGGTTAAATCCATCCAAGTACACTGGTAAGTAGCTTGAATGGTGGTTGAGACTGGAGTAGAGCTAAGGGGGCCTTTTCAACATCTGGCAGCTGCTGTATTATTGCCAGTTGTTCACTGGGTGTCCAGGGCTTATATTCTTCCCAGTATTAGATACCTGAGCTCGGCCGTCTCTTCTCATGGTATACGCTCTCAACTTTGGGTATCATGGGAGTAGTAAATTGTGGAGCTAATGGGCCCCACTGCAGTGTTTATGGGGGCAACTAGGGGTTCCCTCCTCCTCTAATGAACCCATTAAAATGGGGCTGCTGGGGAACCATATGAAGTCCCACTGCGTAATATCACTGGAAAGAGAGGTTTTGATCTCTGTAAAAGGGAAATCGCATTGTCTTTTGGGACCCAAGGAGTCTCTGCATTATCCTGCATTATCCTGGTAAAGGAGTAGGTTTACAAGATTTTTCCCAGGATCTTGCTTACTCTGGGACCCTAGAGGTCCAAAACATTGATAATATGGTACACCTTTTCTGGTGGTTTCTCTACAACCACATTTAGTTAATTCAACTGCAGTATCATGCCATTTTTGGGCGACTTCTAAGTCATTATCTTCTAACCACTCTCTGTAATTTGCCTCTGAGTAACCTCTTAATATTCTTAATTGTTCCTTGTCCTTTTTGATGCTTGACAATAGTCAAAGCCGTAAATCCCCCTTGAGTGCTTTGAGAGCTACTCATCTTAACTTGTAAGGGTTAATTACTTCCTTATCCAAGACAAACTGTACAAAAACAGTGTATAAGACATTTAGGACCTCTGCAGTGGAATTTTCAGTCTTGTCTTCGATATTCTAAACATAATCAGGAGATCTGCCCTTGGAGGATTCTAACTCAAATTATAAAACAAATGACAAGGCAAACAATAAAAATAACTTAAAACCTACAGAAATATTCCACTATCTCAAGATTCCTTTCACAAGACATAACATCCACCTGAATATAACCATAATACCACAGAAAACAAGTTCTTTAAATCAGACATTAAGTCGTTCCTTACCCAGACAGATCAGTAGGATGTGGATCTGAGAGCGAAATTGATAAAGGAAGAAAAGGTTTTCCTTTCCTTGCTGCAGCTGATTTCGCTGTCAGAGGGACGTCCACCTGTACGCTAGTGTCAGTCTTTCGACCATCAGATCCCGGGGTAACTGCACCAAATTGATATAGATCCAAATATTGATCTGTTTATATTCAGCGGAAGCCCGAATTATTATAATAAGTGCACTTGGAGAAGCGTGAATTAGAAACCAGACGTATGTTGGTTATCAAAATAAGCCTCTGTCGTTTATTCGTCAGCTGGATTTTTATACATTAATAAGTAAGTGCTTAGGTGCAAATACTCATAGGACAGTAGTAGTAGTAAGGGTAAAAGGAGTACAGATAAGACACAGAGAGGAACATTGTGACGAAATGCATTTTGTCCCTGGATTGTTAGGTGACAAGCTGCCCTTTGCCCCCGGCTTTTGGAGGAGCCTGATTGCCAGCCTCCTTCCTCATGACTATGGCCCTGGGGTGTATTGCCATTTAAAAAGACTATTTGGGGCTTTTTGGCTTCTAAAAACAGTTTCTTCCCATTTGAATCCATGGGAAGGTGTTTTTCTTCCCCTCCCCCGTTTCCTGTCTATTGTTCTCCAGCAGGGTGTTGTCCCAGGCACACTGCCAAACCAGTTGGAACTGACTGCTTTTGTCCCTCCTTGGTTTCTCAACAGCCCTTGCTATGCTTTAACCCGTGGAAAATCTACTCTGTTCATGGGATCTGAGCGCTGTTCACCTAGATTGGGCGCTCAGATCAGAGCTATCTGGGGATAGGTTAAATGTGGGGGTTCTGTGTAATAAAATAAGAATTATGTATTTTTATGTACTTTTACGTATTTTGCTGTTAGTGTTAAATGTAGATATTTTCTGTACCTGGAGATAATTGAGTTTACTGCAGTGCCTTAAGCCAATTATCTCCAGGATGGAGAGGAGGGATTTCATTGTGTATGTGAGAGTGTTATCATGTTAATTAGTGTTCCCATTGGTTTGTGTCCCTTTTGTCACAGTTTACCACCAGGTCCAGGGGGTGTGCCTCTGACCTGAAAACTTGTATATAAGGAGTAATAAACGCTCATTGGAGTCAGATCATCTTGTACCTTCATGAAGTTTCGGCTCATGTTTGGGGGATTGGAGAAACTACACTCTGGGGATTGCTATAATCGCTATACTCCCCAGGGTATAATCACTAAGCTCTGCTAAGAGCTTGTTCCTGTTCCTGCTCTCTGGAATTCGGAGAGGTCAACCTACTGGAAGCTGTACCCTGGTCTTGGGTCCAGAGTGGGGGGAGACGGCGAGACCCCAACCAAGCTGCGGCGGTTCGTGGGGTCTGCAGTGGTTATGGTGTCAGGCAGAGTGCTTGGAGTCCTTGGAAAGCACTAGGAGCAGCCGTCGGCGGAAGGTACCAGGTCGGGGTCCCAGCGGTTCCGTTACAAACATCATATAACAAGTTCAGAGAAAGAACAGAATAATTTGAGAAGAGAAATCTCAGGTGGGGGCTATCTGCTCCCTGAACTAGACATATATGGTCTTCAGTGTTTTCAGCATCAAGCATTTCCTGAGTCCAAGTTAGCCAATTTTAATATTGGATATCATATGACACCTATAAGCTTGCGCCTTGGAATCAAGATAAATTCTATCACAGTGACAGACCCTCTGTCTTTGAATTTTAAAGTTTAGACATTTTGTTCGTCTGTTTGAATGGAATACAATTTACCTTATTTTATCATTGGCCTTTCGAATACCGAACAACCCACCACCCAGACCTGGAGCGTGGCGCTTGTTAACCTAATTGACTTTAATACCTCTAAAAACCACAAACACCCTTACATTCTGAACGGTCGACTGGGTGGTTGGCATTCGTATACACGAACACGCGGCTGCCATCTTGGAATATGAATGCGGCCAGTGATGTGTTGTCGTTGAGTTCATGGAACTAAAATCGGACACTCAGCGGCACAAACACCGCTGGGACTTCCACTCCCCGTTATGTTCAACTGGAATTGCACGTATGGAGCGCCGTTCGGTATGCCTCTGTGTACAAACAGACCCGTTTGACTATTTGAACGTACTTCGACTGTTTGAAATAGACCAGCCGCACAGCCCAATGCTCTGGAACTATTTTGGGCATGAGACCATACGTGCTGTCGGTCAAAAAGAGACTTCCATGAAACTTTTGAACCCCTGAGCTGATCTGGGTGACTTTTCAGTATGTTAGCCCTGATCTGGGGGAAAATCAGGGGATGCATGGTTTTTTTATGGGTTCCCATATGTTTGTGGGGTCTTTTTTGTTTGAAGATAATTGAGTTAATACAGTAAATTAACTGTTATCTCCTAAGAGTGGAGGGATTGTGCATCCTGTATGGGAGTGTCTCGATGTAAGACCCTGTTTTTATTGGTTGTTCACCTTGTGTCCCTGTGCCCAACAAGGTCCACATGGGTGTCACCCTTGTTGGGAAACCTGCATAAAAGGCAGTGTGCCTCCATTAAAGCTCAGTTCTTACTTTACCCTCAATTTAGAGTCTTGTCTCTTGTTGGGGGAAACTGCTCTAAAGCTATCACTACGAGCTCTTGTAAGAGCTTATCTACTTGGATGACTACCTGGAATGCTGTAATACCACTCACACTCGGGAGAAGGACATCCTCTAGTGGTGGAAACCCCCTCTACTCATCGTGGTAAGCGCTTCATGGGGATTTTATGTGTTTTGGGGTTTTGTAAAATTTGTGGGGTTTTTCTTAATGGAGATAATTGGGTTAATGCGGTATCTGCCTCAATTATCTCCCAGGCAGGGAGGAAGGATTGTATGTTTGTATTGGGATGTCACACTTTGTAACTGCATTGTTATTGGTTAAGTTTGTGTCCCTGTCCATGTGGGCGTACACCTTGCTTGGGGACTTGCATAAAAGGCCAGTGTGGCTTCCATTAAAGAGAGATTCGTTTACCCCTTCATGAAGTCTTGGCTCATGTTGGGAGATTCGAGAACTACATTCACTCTGGGGATTGCTATATCACAATACTCCCCTGAGTATAATCACTATCTCTTCTAAGAGCTCAGAAGATGAAGTGCGCTAGTCCTCGGGCAGCACTCCCAAATGAGGAGGAGTTCCTTTGGGAGATGCAATAGCGACTGTCCTTTTTTTGACTGTCGGTCCGACTCCCCAGCGGCTGAGTATGTTATTGGGAGAAGAGACTATCTGTCTCACTCCCCAGCTGCAGTGTGCAGTACAGGGAGCAGAAGGTGTCGTCCTTCCTCCCCAGCGGCAGCCGGATATACCAAAAGGAGTGACCGCTGGTCCCTCACCCCCAACTACAGAGGGGCAACACTCCTGACCAGACGTATTATTACTGGACGCCATGCCCAGATCCCCAACCAACCCCGCAGGACTGCCAGGAGGAGGAGGTAGGCAATCCCTCCACAGTGGAGCCTCAACCAGGTCCTGGGGGTAGTATCCGCTGACCCCATAACAGCAGGAGAGCTGTCAGCTGGGTAGAGCGCAGTTGGCCTCTGCCCTCCCCTTGTCCCCAACTGCAAACCGGAGAGCAACCAAGAGACCAGGAGTAACAGACGCCCCCTCTGCAGCATGGGACAGACAGGACAAAGCTGGACACTCGAGAGCTACAGGTCAAGTACTTGGTTGTGGGTGGGTTGCTCGACTAACTCCGGTACCGACCAACAGGAGGTCAGATACCTGGTTAGTCTCCCCTTGGGAGGGAGGATATGTGACAAAAGTAGCTTTATCACTGGCTCTTTGAGGGACCTGTTTGCCACTATTGGTGCCTGTTGGAACTTGTAACAGAAACCTTTCGAAGTGGCATTCAACCATGTGGCGGTGGCCATTTTGTTTAGTCAAACGCATCCAGCTGTGTTTGGTCGTCTAGTGCATGGAGCACAAATCGGACAGGCACGAACACAGCTAATACTTTACCTTCCATGGAGGTTCGGCGAGTCGAACGGCATTCGGTTAGAAGATGCCCCAGAACAAGAGACTTACACTAACTATATCCACCAACAGCTTTGTTCGGTAATTCAAACGTTATTTCAAACACTCAAAGTAGACCGGCCACACAGCCTGATTCTCTGGAACTGTTTTGGGCATGAAACCATGCGTGCGGTCGGTCAAAATGGGACTTCCATAGAATTCCTGAACCGATGTGGTTGAATTTTGGATATGTTGGTCACCCAGATCAGGGCTGTCAGGGGATGTAATAATTGTGGGGATTTTGTGTTTTTGGGGTACTTTTGGTGTTTTGATATATAGATATATAGATAGATAGATTCTATCTATTTTTTTAATTTTTTTTGCCTGGAGATAATTGGGATGTGACGAAAGCACCTTCGTCACTGGGATTTGGAGAGGCCTGCTTGCCAGCCCCGTACCCTGTGACTATGATGGAGGTTTCTTTTCACTCTCTGATGTGCTAGTATCTTGATATTTATGATATAATACATAGGTCTCTACCTGGACCACCCCATATAGACTCAAATACTTAGCAACTGCTTAGTCAAGCTCTCCCCATTCCCTCCACAATTAACCAGGTCCAATCCTGTGAAAGTTAAAGGAACACTATAGTCACCGAAATTACTTTAGCTAAATAAAGCAGTTTTGGGGCTAAAAACCATGTTCATCCCTTTTCCCCTTCTATTATGCAGTATATGGGGCTTACCGAATGGATTAGGTTTATGGTGTTCGTTTACCGAACAAACTGTCGAACAGCTGGACTGTCCGCAAGTGGAGTGTGCAGCCTGTTAACCTCCCAGAAGCTGTGGTTAACCACAGCTTAATTGACAAATGGCTGGGTGGTTGTCGTTTGTATAGTCGAACTCGTGGTGGCAGCCATCTTGTTTAATCGAACGCGGTCAGCAGTGTTTTGCCGTCGAGTTCATGGAACTGAAATCGGACACTCAACGGCACGAACACTGCTGGGACTTCCACCTCCAGCTAAAGGATAAATATGCACGAACAGAGTGCAGTTTGGTAAAAATTATCTACCGAACACACTTCACAACTGACTTAGGGCACGAACAGTCCTGTTCGACTATTTGAAGTGCACTTTAATCATTGGAAATAGACCGGCCGCACAGCCTAATTCTCTGGAACTATTTTGGGCATGAACCCATGCTTGCGGCCGGTCAAAAAGAGACTTTCATGAGACTTTTGAACCCCTGCTCTGTTCTGGGTGATTTTTTGGATATGTTCACCCAGATCAGGGCTATCAGGGTGTATGGGGATAAGTTATATTTTGGGGTTACTTATGAGACTTTGAAATGTGTTTTTTATGCTTGGGTATAATTACGTTCATACATTATCTACCTTAATTGTATCACAAGCAGAGGGGATTGATTGTGTGCTGTATGTGGGAGTGTCAGGCATTGTTACATTGGTCTACACAGTTTGTGCCCTGTGCCCCATTAGGTCCAGTGGGTGTTCCTTTGACCTGAAAAGTTGTATAAAAATCCAACCTGTACCATTTAAAGTTTTAACCCCTTCAGCCCAGCGGGAGTGGGACCCTGAGGGTGGGGGGGACCTAAAGACCCTATAGTGCCAGGAAAACGAGTTTGTTTTCTTAACACTCCTTTAACTTTCACAGGCTTCGGGTGTCTTAGGGAATATCTAGCCTTCCTAGCTGATAGCTCTATAGTAGCAATCCAGTATACCCTAGAGCAGGGGTAGGCAACCTATGGCACTAGTGCCATACACGGCACTCAAGGTGTCTTTGCACAGCACTCAAGGCTGCTAGAGCCAAACAGGCTCTGGCCTATCAGGAGTCCCAGTAAAAGTTCAGATATCTGCTAATCCGAAAAGGTGGTGAAGGACAATCCTCAATTTATGCATTGCAGCACGTAGATCTCAGATCACTTCCTCTCAGCACTTGTGAATAGGAATCCACACTGTAGTAGAGCAGCTCGCAGTTGCTGTTGCAGCTCCTGTCCTTGACATGTACCTGGCCAGCCTAGTCCCTACTGGACGCCACCCACACTGCTAGATATACACAGAAATGCAGAATAACTCTCACCTCATACAAATAATACGGACAGCCCACACACAAACATGCACACAATCCGCACAAACGAAACACCACTAACAATCCACATACTTGCACACAACCTCACATGCAATACCTCAAACAGCCCTCACACACTACCAAACACACACTGTGACATATCCATCCACACACAATTCCACAAGCAGCCCCCATACACAGCCCACATTCATATGTATCATACACAATACCATAAACTACTCATGAACATATACAATATAATAGCTCGTATATGCAGGGCCGTCTTTAACGCGGGGCAAACTGGCCAGCTGCACCGTGAGCCCTGCTGGCCTCAACAATTTCTAACCCTCTGGCCGGTAATCCGCACACTAAGGAGGGCCCCTTGCTTTTCGGCAGCAGGCTGGGAGGAAATGACGGCCACGCATCACTTCCTCCCACAAAGAGAGGAGTGAGCGGGAAAGAAGAGTAGGCAGATTGGAGGGGGGGCTGGCCGAGAGCGCTAGACCCCAACTCCCAACACCTTCAGCCACCAGCAGGAAAGGTAGGAAACCGGAGGGTGGGTTTTAAAGTGTATGTCTGTGTCAGTATGTCCGTGTGTGTGTCAGTATATCTGTGTGTGTCAGTATATCTGTGTGTGTGTGCGCATTTCAGTGTGTATATATCTCTGTGTGTGTGTATATGTGCATACATCTCAGCATTCACACACTAACACTACACACAAATACACCCCTGCATTCAAATTTCAACACTACGTACAAACACATGTCTGTTACACACCAAAATTATATGTAAAGACACCCCTGCATTCAAAAACCAACACTACACAAATACATGCTTGCAATCACGCCAACACCACATACAAACATATTCCATACAAAAACCTGTTTACATTCAAACACACAAAAACTGCTTAGTGCTAAATACAGACCTGCAAACATGGGTAAATGGTAGAGCCCCAGCTGTCAATGCATTTCTGGAGTTGCACGACAGATGGGGATCTACCTTTTAATCACCCGTGCAACAGGGAGACCCCCAAAAATTCTTGCACCTCTCTACTTTAGGTCCGCCACTGCGTTGAGGTGTAGGACGTGATTGCATGCCTGAGGAGGGGGGACAGGGTCCTGGGGGCCCCAAGCAAATGCTTTGCCCAGGGTCCAGTCACTATTAAAGACGGCCCTGCATATACGCACAAATACGATACAAAGCAATTACAGTAAAAATAACACAAGCAGAATACGGCAGCATACACCCCTCGATTTAAAAAAAAAAAAAAGTAAAAAAAGGGACCGGCACTCTACAGGACATCACAATCTTTTATCGGCACAGTGCTGCTATAAGGTTGTCTACCCCTGTCCTAGAGTAAATCATTATTACACTGTAGGCTCATTTGTAGAAGGTGTTTAATGCTACCGGCCATGTTTGAGCATATTTCCTATAAGCACTGTTTGATGGAGGTTTCTTTTCACTCTCTGATGTGCTAGTATCTTGATATTTATGATATAATACATAGGTCTCTACCTGGACCACCCCATATAGACTCAAATACTTAGCAACTGCTTAGTCAAGCTCTCCCCATTCCCTCTACAATTAACCAGGTCCAATCCTGTGAAAGTTAAAGGAACACTATAGTCACCGAAATTACTTTAGCTAAATAAAGCAGTTTTAGTGTATAGATCATTCCCCTGCAATTGCACTGCTCAATTCACTGTCATTTAGGAGTTAAATCACTTTGTTTCTGTTTATGCAGCCCTAGCCACACCTCCCCTGGCTATGATTGACAGAGCCTGCATGAAAAAAACAAAGTGGTTTCACTTTCAAACAGATGTAATTTACCTTAAACAATTGTATCTCTTTCTCTGTAAATGGAACTTTAATCACATACAGGAGGCTCTTGCAGGGTCTAGCAAGCTATTAACATAGCAGGGGATAAGAAAATCTTAATTAAACAGAAGTTGCAATAAAGAAAGCCTAAATAGGGCTCTCTTTACAGGAAGTGTTTATGGAAGGCTGTGCAAGTCACATGCAGGGAGGTGTGACTAGGGTTCATAAACAAAGGAATTTAGCTCCTAAATCCGCACACTAAGGAGGCCCACCGGGTGGCCCATGCACAAAGGACCACCCGGTGGGCTTCTGTCAGCAGGGGCCCGGTCGCACGCTGAGGCACTTTAACAGCGCTAGCGGGCCCCTTGCTTTTCGGCAGCAGGCTGGGAGGAAATGACGGCCACGCATCACTTCCTCCCACAAAGAGAGGAGTGAGCGGGAGGAAGTGATAAATATATGTTTCATTAATGAAATAAAAATTAATTAAATTTACAAATGGCAGGACCTAGATTTTAAGAACCTATGTACAAGCAAGATCTATCGTTAGATGAGCAGAATGACTGTCATTTCAAAGAGATGGTTAAAAAAAAAAAAAAAGAAACACAAACAAAAATTATATATAAGGATTGAGCAGTGAGGCTGCAGGGGCATGTTCTATACACCAAAATTGCTTCATTAAGCTAAAGTTGTTCAGGTGACTATAGTGTCCCTTTAAGGCATATTATTGGCCACAATGTATCTATTTAGAGATTCATTTCTTTAGACCTTTTTGTATCCACTCTTTTGGAATTGAGTTTGTCTATCTGCCTGGCTATATCAGCTTGCACTTCTTGTTTATAAAGTTGGGATAATTTGTGGCAGTTATAATAAAGCCTATTGGTTTATCCACTTCAATGATATTCTGTGCCTTGATATACATGATAGATACTTTTCTCGTTCTGTTTTAGCTATTGCTTTACTTCAACCTCTCATACACCAGTACCCTAGAGGAATTTCCTTGATAAGGATTTCCTCACTTTGCTTTTTTTTTTTTTAATATTAACCCCTTAAGGACTGGACTGTTTTTGCGATGTTGTACATTTGCGACCAGGAATATTTTTACACTTTTCTGGTGTTTGTGTTTGGCTGTAATTTTCCGCTCTCTCATTTACTGTTCCCATACAAATTATATATAGTTTTTTTCAGGACAAAAGGGGCTTTCTTTACATACCATTATTTATATAATCTCATGTATTTTAATTTAAAAAAAATAAAAAAATCTGATGAAAAATTGAAAAAAATACATGTTTTTTGACTTTTACTTGAAAAATCTTTTACTCATCTACAAAAGCGAATGAAAAAAACTGCTAAATAGATTCCAAATTTTGTCCTGAGTTTAAAAATACCTAGTGTTTACGTGCTTTTTTGCTTTTTTTTGCATGTTATAGGGCTATAGGTACAAGTAGGATATTGCGGTTTCAAAACATACATTTTTCAAATGTATCAATAGTGACATTGTAACACTATTATCTGTCATAAATCTCTGAATAACACCCCACATGTACATATTTTTTTTAAAGTAGACAACCCAGGGTATTCAATATGGGTTATGTCCAGTCTTTTTTAGTAGCCACTTAGTCGAAAACACTGGCCAAAGTAAGCATTCATATTTGTTTGTGTGTGAAAAAGTAAAAAAACTAAATTGAACGCTAATTTTGGCCAGTGTTTGTGACCAAGTGGTTACTAAAAAAGACTGGACATACCCCATTTGCAATACCTTGGGTTGTCTTCTTTTGCAAATGGTATACCATCATGGGGGTAATTCTCATTCCTGGGCTACCATACGCTCTCAAAGGCAACGTAACCAACCTGGCGATTTTCAATGTAAAAATATTTGACCCATGTATTTGACCTTGTAACTTTCAAAAATGCTATAAAACCTGTACATGGCGGGTACTGTTTTACTCGGGAGACATCGCTGAACACATATATTAGTGTTTAAAAACTGGAAAACGTATCACAACAATTATATCATCAATAAAAGTGCTGTTTGTGTGTGAAAAATGCAAAAAAAGTAACTTTCACTGACAATATCATCGCTGTGATATGTTTTACTGTTCTGAATCACTAATATTTGTGTTCAGCGAAGTCTCCCGAGTAAAACAGTACCCCCCATGTACAGGTTTTAGGGTGTCGTAGAACGTTACAGGGTAAAATACAGTGCTAGCAAATTCAATTCTCTGGAATTTCGGCCTGGGTTGGCAGGCAGGTCCCTCAAATTACAATCAATAAAATTACTGAATTATGTAAAAATATTACATAAATACGCACGTAGAATTTAAATATATATGCATATTTATATATTTGAAGTCTACGTGTATATTTATATAATTATTTATGTAATTTTGTATATGGACACATGTATATTTCGTATTATTTTTATTTATTTTTATATATATAGATATATATACAAATTCATTCTAAGTGTATTTTGATATAAATATATATATATTAATTTTAAAATACAGTTAGAATAAAATTTCATATAGCTATATAATTTTTTTAAAATTTTTTATTATTTTTTTTAAAAATTTATTTAATTTAAATTACTTATTATTTATATTTTATAATAATATATATATACAATCTATATAGTTATTATATATATTATATATATACGTGTGTAATTTAATTATAAGTGTATTTTTATATTAATATAAGTACATATTAATATAAAAATACACTTAGTATGACATTATATATGATATATAGACATATATTATATACATATAATATATGTCTATATATCATATATACACATATATAATTATTTTTTTTTTTTTAATTAACACTAACTTTATTTTTTTTTCTGATTTTACACTAGCAGGGAGACTGCCTGTCAGCACAGACAGTCCCCCTGCAGGCAGCACTATGGACACCCATTGTGACCATGTGATCGCTGTGTTAAGCGATCACATGGCCCCAGGGGTCCTAAATCAGTGTGGGGAGACTGTCTGGGCTGCAGGCAGTCTCCCATCAACCGGAGCAACGCTGATCGCCGCCGGGGGAACGACGGCGATCAGGTAAGTAACGGAAACCGTTAGGACGGTTCAGGACCGTCATCGGTCCTCAATGGGAAAATCCCGATGACGGTCCTGAACCGTCCTCGGTCGGGAAGGGGTTAATTTCATGTCCAGAGTGACAGGGTGCCACTCATATTGACCACCCCTGTTGTGATATCCTCATATATATACTCTCGCTCTCTCGTTCTCTCCCTCTCTCTTTCTCTCTGTGTGTATGTTTTACAAACCTGCTCTAATGTATCATTAGTGTTCCTCATTCAGGTAATGACTGGCTTGCACTCTCCTTCTGACAATATCCCAAGTTTATGAATCTGCTCATTGTTTGGGCAGAGGAACTTTTAAGAATCCTGTCAGGTAGAGACTGTTGTTGGTTCTGCTTTAAACTTATGTCTGCAGATAGACAAAACCACAGCTCTCATAACTTCCTTATATCCTTATCATTTTATCCTCCAAGTTTTATTCCATCTCAATATGGAACATTATACATTCTCTAGATCAGTCATTCCTAAATCAGTCTGCAAGGCATACTAATCGTGTCGGAGTTAGGCCATTTTCCGTTCTGTTCTGGTGGGTGATGCAGACAAAGCTAGGACCAGTGGTTTACCTCAAGGACTAGAGTGTGAATCCTTCGTCTAGACTCTGAGGTTTGCCTGCATATGACAAATATTTAAAGGAACAATATTAGCACCACAATCACTACAGCCCACTGTAGTGGTTGTGGTACCAGAAGCCCCCTATCTCTCTGCTTTAGTAAGGGGTCAAACGTTGTAATGGTAAAAGTGCTTGGGCTTAGGGTGCCCATTAACACACTTTTCTTTAAATAACAAGTTCCTGCAAATCTAACTGATTTATTTCCTTTCAGGCCTATCAAACCCACAGACATCTTGTCTCCAGAAAACGGACATGAAGTAGCCAAGGAACTAGGAATCCCTTACTATGAGACCAGTGTGGTGGCACAATTTGGGGTAAAAGATGTTTTTGATAATGCTATCCGCGCAGCACTAATTTCTAGGAGACACCTGCAATTCTGGAAGTCCCACCTAAAGAAAGTACAGCGTCCTCTGCTGCAAGCTCCCTTTCTTCCTCCCAAACCACCTCCACCTATCATCCACACACCGGACCAACCGCAGAATGGCCAGGGTCCTGCTGCTCTTTTCTACACCCCTCTTTGTACAGATGTTGTGTTCCAGCTGCAGCGTGGACAGAAGGTTTTTGCACACAAAGTTTACCTAGCAACAGCATGCTCCAAATTCTATGAACTATTTACATTGGAGCTCTGTGCATCAGAGCTAAAAGAGAAGAACTGGAGCCCCAAACGTGACCACTGTCCATTCCAAAATGGAGGAACTCAGGGTGCCACATGCACTAAATGTGTGGGCGTGGACTGCCAATGTGAAGCCACTAATGGGCAGCTCGGTGTCTCTCCTCTCCCTCTCCGGACTTCTTTAAGTGATAATGCCTTGAGGGGTCATGGAGTTGTCCCAGTAGGATGGGGGAAGGAACTCACTGAATGGGGCAGAGGATTTATCAGAGTTTGCCTGAACATGGTGGAAGACCCTTTGACACAATGTGAAACTCTGATGACAGTTGTTCAAATGGAATCATTTATTCAGGGAGAGCCACTGAGGGCAGTGCTTGAGTACTTGTATACTGGTCACTTGGATCAGAGCCGTACTGACCTTATGCAGGTGGCCACCATAGCGGAGGCCCTGGAGGTGTTTGATCTGAGGATGATGGTGTCAAACATATTGAACAAGGAGGCCTTTATGAACCAGGAAATTACCAAAGCCTTCCATGTAAGAAGAGCCAATCGCATCAAGGAATGTCTGAGCAGAGGGCTGTTCTCAGGTAAGTGACAATGTACAAACTTGGATAAAAATTAAGTGTACAAAGGCAACTGCACAGATTAGTAACAGTTACAACTCATGTTGTACATATTTTGTGAACACCCACTTCCAGTGTCCATGCAAGGAGGGGAAAAAGAGCAACATTATCTGATGCCAGAGAGCTAGCCAAGGGTCAGACACTGGAAGAAGACATTAAGTAAATGTTGGGGGCATTAATACATGGCTAAGGTAGAATCAAATGGGTGAATTAAAGCACTGAAACTGGGCCGTGCAGAAATTTATCTAGGATTGGGGCACAGCCTACAATTTACAGGTTTTTCTTCAGGCTGGTATGTGTTCACATTGAGCTACTTTTGGCCCCTGTTTCACAGCCACGTGTGTCTCATTGACAAAACACTGATACCAGGCTGATCCACCATGATTTAGCTGTGTCTGACAAGGATGCGATCACACATGCATGTATGTTGTCTCTTCACAGCATCCAAAACATGTCAGCAGACCTTTACTTTCTGTATGTTTGCTGGCATAACAAGTGATTCCCCATATTGACTTCGATCATTTCTCACTTTTCTGTTTCTCCCTGTTTGTGGCCAGACGTTCTTTTCACAGTTGATGATGGGTCTGTTCCAGCCCATAAGCCACTGTTGATTGCAAACTGTGACTGGATGGTGGCTATGTTCCGTGGCGCCTTCAGGGAGAGCTTCTCACAGGAGGTATAGTACCACTTACGAGGCTCCAACCATTCTTCATTTTAATGTTTGTTCTAGTGATTTTAAGAGTATGATCATTCCATCTTTGGTAGTGTACGGAGGCATGATTATGGGATCATCAAAGGCAGACCTCCGCAGGGTGACTTTAAAGTCAGAAAACCCCAAAATACCCGAGCGATGCGTAATGTTAAATGTTAAAAATTAAAAAGCTAAGTGCAATCTGAATTTGAGGTCCAAAACAGATATTTTTATCATGAAATGCTTTTGGAGTGTGTTAATATTTCATCAGAATTGCTAGTTTTGGAACTTGTGAGACAGGAATATGGCTCCTTCAGCCAATGGAACGCACGATCAGGGAGCGTGTTTTTTTTCCACGGCAAACAATTAGCTGGCAACGCCCCAAAAGTCTATTTTTTTTTTTTTTTTTTTTAAGTATTTCAGGTATGCTGAATAGTCCTTTTGGTGTGCCACCTGTGAGAAAGTCATAATTTTAGTTAAAAGACCTGAGTACATAGGATTGTTTTAGTTAATGAACTTATTTATATCACGCTATTGGAAAATGTCTAGTCATCCTGCTCAAGAAAAAGTTAGAAATAGCCCCGTCAACTCCACGTAAACCTAAAGCAATGGCAAAAAATAAACCTCTTTCAGGGGCCGAGTCCAAAATTTCCTGATGGTAGTAAGAAAATGCACTATAATAAGGAATTGTTGGAAAATCTAGAAATCAAACAATGTCTGGCTTTTTAAGTAGGTTTCAGTGTAACTTAACATCCATATTAATGGGATATTAAAGCAGCCATTTTATAGATGCCAGACATCATGTGACAACACAGAATTAAGACTCTGTCATGCTATCTGATAGGTCTAAGAAAGTCTCCATCAGAATCAGATACCACAGGTCTTCTGCTAGTAACCCAGATCTATATCTAAAGGATCCATACATTTACTAAGGAAGTAGCCAAAGTTAGGGAAGAACAACAACATACGGATAAAAATACAGGCCTTCAATACCCTCATTTTTTTCATTTAACTATGAATTGAGAATGGAGAAACAGAAAAAACGCATTATGAACAAATTGGAAAATTGTCTGGTCTGGTATTTTTAGGTTTAAATGGGGGTTTACAACTATTTAAAGTTATTTTTGCCAGAAAAAGAAATATAAAATCAGCAAATCAATTGCAAAATTTTAAAGGAATTCAATCCACCGGCTCAGAACATTCGGTTATCAAAAAAGGACTATTTTTCTGTCAAGTGACCTGGAAAATATTGACACACACATAAAGCATTGGTTGTGGTGCTCCCTCTTGAGATATCCACTGTCAACGTACCTAGTCAAAGGAAGACGTAAGCCAGTCCTCAAATTACAGAGCAATGCTGCCTATCCTAAGACTGCTGTTTTATTTTTTTTCTATTAAAGCATTTTTAAACTATCAAATTCAGATGGGCAATGATTCAGTGGTGACATAGTTTATTAACCCCTTAAGGACACATGACATGTGTGACATGTCATGATTCCCTTTTATTCCAGAAGTTTGGTCCTTAAGGGGTTAAACAGACAAGGAGGTACCAAGTCAAACCGTCTGATGAATCTTTGTAGAAAAGTAATAATCTGGGCAGAGAGAAACACTTGAGCTTTATTCAGAAGTCTAATTGAGGAATAGACAATGACTTAGCCTGAGCCGAACAAGAAGGCAAGCAAATCGCTAGTTACACAAGCGCATGTTTCAGAAATAATGCAATTCAGTATATATGCCAGAGATTGATCTAAAGGCACGGCGCGACGGCCAGAAAGTAAAAAGGTTTTATTCTCTTTACAAGGAAGACAACCTGGACATGTTGGATATAAAACAGATTCATTGGCCTTTTCTCAAAGATGCATCTTTCTTCCAGTACCAATTTTCACCAGAGTACTTCAGAAGGCATGATCAGAACATGCAATAGTAATTGCGATTTATATCTTTCTGGCCAAGAAGAAGCTAGTTTTCTGAGCTCTTTCAGAGGGCACAAGGCAGTTATTAGAAAATTAGAATAACTCAACATGAAATAAACATTAGGAAATACCTCCGTTATCATTCTATACGTCTAACTGCTTGGAGACTGCAAGGATAATCCTAGCCTCCACATAAGGAAAAGATTGAGATATTGATGGGATCTTCCAGGAACTCCACTTCAAGAAACAAATTGCTTCAGGTACAGTTATCTGCTTTCGCCTTTTTTCTCTTACAAGATTTGTCTGGCAATAAGTTAATACATAAAAAAAAAAAAAAAAAGTAAAGACCACCAAAAATGAATTTAATTCCTAGATTGGATGCAGATATTGTGCCGAATGCTCTACTTGATCCTCAATTTAGGCGTTTGTCAAAATTCTCCCTGTGACAAAACCCCTATTTTTCCTTCCCCAGAGCCATTCTCCTCTTCAGTTCGGGAATCTGCTTAATCTGTGATACCCTTATTCGTCTACCATTCGAGACTATTAAAGTACCGAACACCGACCACGCCCGTGGCTCATTAAGTTCAGAGAAACCGCAAAAATTAAGGGCTCTCTCTGTGTGGACACCGTTCGTATAACCGAATGCCACATGGTGGAGAAAACGGTGGGCATCTTGTTGCACAAAAGCAGGCAGCGGGACTTGGTCGTCGAGTGTCTGGAAGCCCGAGGCGGACACGGAACAGCGGTAAAACTATGCAAATGCCTGCTTCAGTTTGCGGCAAGCCAGGAGAGCGCTGTTCGAATGGACCTCACGAACAAATGCTACCAATGAGCCAGGGGAACGTTCGCCTTTTCGTACGTTTTGGGCAGGCGCCTCATGAGCGTCGGTCAAAACTTCACCCAGTGGCAATTCGGCTGTGTTCGTGGGATCTGAGCGCTTTTTGGATATGTTGGGAGCTCAGATCCAGGCTATCCGGGGATGTATAAACTATGGGGGTTCCTTTATGCGAATTATGTATTTTGTATGTTTTATAGGTATTTTGGTTTTTTTTGTAAAAATTTGTTGCTTTGTGCCTGGAGATAATTAAGTTTAATACAGTGCTTGACTCAATTATCTCCCAGGCACAGAGGGAGATGGGAGTGTCCTGGATCTAAGAGCCAATGAAATTGTGTATATGTTTTTACTATAGTCTATTCTCAGGTCTACTTTGCATGGGTACTGACATAAAAGTCCAGTTGTGGCTGCCAATAAACAAGTTCCTGCTTACCCTCAACATAGTCTCATCTCATGTTCGTAGGGAACAGCTATAATCCCAGTTTTTGGGATTGTTCTTTGGATTGCTATAATCACTAGCTCTTGTAAGAGCTATACTCTTATACCTGCTATACTCTCTTGGAGGAGAGGTCCAGGGGGGAGTGCCCCTTGCATGGGGACCGGCATATAAGTTGTGGCTGCCAATAACCAGATTTGTTTTACCCTCATGAAGTCTAGACTCTTGTTTGGAGGATTGGAGAGCTATATTCACTATAATCACTTCTACGCTGGGGACTTGGAGAGAGCCTGCACGGATCTACTCAGCCGGAGTATAGGGGATCCATTTCACTCCCTATAGCTGATATCTGTAGAGACCATATTCCTAGTAGCAATTACATCCGCAAAAAGAATTAGAGAAATACCTGACTTGTCAATATTTCCACTGTATACTGTTTTCCAGAAGGACAGATTATACAGTACCAGACGGACTCTACCCATGTGTTTTGTATGTTTATTGGCTGCATATTGGTGTGTTTATGATGTGCACTTATTTAAATGTATTGCTAGTCTATTTCATTGAGGGGGCAAGGATTCCCGGCCTTGTCATGTTGCTTTAGACTTCCGTTGTGTGAAATTAATTGTAGGACCAATGAGGACAACTTGTTTGATCACTAGTCCCCCATAACTGCCGTGTGATTTGCCAGCTCTACATGTCTTGCAGTTGCCAGGCTGCCGTCTCTCTTGTTGCTATGTCAATGTGGCCATCTCCTCCTGTACCACTACACTGATAGACTGATTGAAAGGGCGAGCAAATGTCTCCAACTAATGCTTTTATGTTGGCTGTGGTGATAGGAGTCCCACCCTTGTCCTTCTTCGAGATTCTGCCAATAATAGCCCACCAAGTAGTAGTGATAATGTTCCGTGTCACCTGTTTTACATTCACATCTTCATCTTGGTATGTGCGTTACTAGGTAAACAAGTGACCTAACTGAAAAAGGAACAAAAACTGTATTCCTAACACGCAGTGCGGCAAATGGGTAAAAACCTTTTAAACACATACTTGGCTCTGTCGGTGTGTGAGGGAACCAAACGCACATTTGGCCCTCATAGGGATTTGCAAAGATGCTGGCAATGTATGCACATGCATGCTAAGCGTGGACGACCAGCTATGTTTCAGGACACTGCAGAAATGAATCCTACTATATTTCTTCTAAGCATATTATTACTATTCTGTGATTTATTTATTGGAATCCATTCATAAAGAGTTATTTTATTTGTGAGAATGTGTATATATTCATATTCTAGTACTTACCGTTAAACAGTCATTCTAACTACACTAATTGTGAACTTTGATATTTTAGATGTAGAAAGTAAAGTGTAAATAAAAAAACAGGGAAATAAGTCATGCTTGGAACATTTAAAAATAAGCTCTGGGAGTTTTTGTGAATCGGCCTAGGGAACTTCTTTTTAACCTTTCCTGCTTGTAACGTGTGGACAGCCCTAACATACTTTCATGTTACAAGTGGTTAGAATTTATCCTTGACATCACTCCCTGGTTTTTGGTTGATAATAAAACTCCCGTTGAATTCACCAAGCAGCATGACATAGATTGATCACAACTCCTAGCAGACAAGGCATCATCAGATGTCATGTTTCTCCCACAAAGAAACAAGTTAAATTGGGGTAACATCACATGGACATGGGTTGGGTTATATGGGTAAATCATGGGACTCTGTATGCGAGATACAGCTGAGATTCCATGTAACAAGTACAATGTTACACACCAAAACTGCATGCTTTTTACACGGTAACCTTGGAGGCATTCATAAACAAGAAGAGTTTGGAAATAACAAACAGTGCATCTAGTAGCAGTGTGCGCAATGTTGGTGGCAAACCCAGTGACGGGTTATTATAAATGGGTGCTAATATAAATCCGTGGTAACACACAGCTGTGGATATATTCAGTTTTGGGCACCAGTTCTCAGAAAGGACATTGTGGGCCTGGAAGACGTGGCAAGGCAGCCGGCCCCAGACCCATAGGTTGATCATTGTGCACGAAATCTTCCCGGCTTCCTAAAGAGACCAGATGCATATTTTTTTTTTAAATCTGTGGCTTCATGTCCGGTCTCACTTTTTTAAAACCAAGAGGGCTTCCATCCATTGTAAGAGGAGTGGGGTAACATAACACAAGGTAAGTGTGATGTGTGGTTTCTCCAAGGGCTTGTGATAATAAAAAAAAATAAAAATAAAAAATGTGTGTGTGTGTGTGTGTGTGTGTGTGTGTATATATATATATATATGTATATATGTATGTGTGTGTATATGTGTGTATATATATATATATATATGTGTGTGTATATATATATATATATATATATATATATAGCTCTTTTAAGCTTTCCATTTTTAGATCAAAAAGGATGTTGTTGTTGTTTTTTTTGTTGTGTTTTTTTTAAGTTAATTTTACCTTCACAATGAAAACAGAGGTCTAATTCAAATGGAGTCTTTGTTCCTCCAACAAATCCTTCAGCTGTTCGGCTGTGCATGTGTGGACTCTGTGTTCCTGCTGCACCCGTCTGGTCTTCCATGTTGTGCTGTACCTCCTGCTAAACATTCCTCATCCTTACCCTGTGTAGTCTCTCCTGCCGCGGTCTCTCTATCCTTACCCTGTGTAGTCTCTCCTGCCGTGGTCTCCCCATCCTTACCCTGTGTAGTCTCTCCTGCCGCGGTCTCTCTATCCTTACCCTGTGTAGTCTCTCCTGCCGTGGTCTCCCCATCCTTACCCTGTGTAGTCTCTCCTGCCGTGGTCTCTCCATCCTTTCCCTGTGTAGTAGTATATCCTCTCTGTGCTTACAATGTTTAGTCTCCTCTCTCTCCAAGCTATTCCTCTGTACTCTGCTTAGGTACATTTCTGCTTTCCTTTCCAGGTGTTTCTCCCAGGCACCTCCTCTTCCTGCCTTCGTACCGTGCTGGAGTATCTTTACCTGGGTCAGTTCTGCCCATCAGCTGATCTTGACTCGATGGAGCTTTTGGTGCTGACAAACCGGTTGTGCCTCCCTCACCTACAGGCACTAACTGGTAAGAAATATTCTCACAAAGCGGACACTGTTCTATTATCAGGGTCACGCTGTTCTATGGGGGTCATGCTGTTCTATTATAGGGGGTCGCACCGTTCTATTATTGGGGTCACACAACTGAATAATGTGGACCTCTCTATACCGCACTGTGTACCGGCCCATCAACCTCTCTATACCGCACTGTGTACCGGCCCAGCAACCTCTCTATAGCGCACTGTGTACCGGCCCAGCTACCTCTCTATACCGCACTGTGTACCGGCCCAGCTACCTCTCTATACCGCACTGTGTACCGGCCCAGCTATCTCTCTAGACCGCACTGTGTACCGGCCCAGCTATCTCTCTAGACTGCACTGTGTACCGGCCCATTCACTATCTCATCCTTTTGTGTGTCTGTAACCCAGTAATGTAACCAGGCGCTTCCTCTTGCCTTCTCGTGGTGCATTGTGTCCTGTAGACAGATTAACCTTGAAGCCTGATTGCTAGCTCAAGCTGTCACCATGGATTGTGTTGGTTCTCTGACCACTGTACTGATACTGACAGATAATCTATATGACCCCCCCCTAGACAGGGGGACAGCCCTCAGGTTGCTCAATATGGATTAATTTAACATTTTAAGTGCCGGGGAGAGCTTCCAACAGACTGCTCTTAAATCTTCTGACCATGCTTGCCCTGTAACCAAATCTGCTGAACTCAAAACACAATCAACGCTCTCTTATTGAAATGCCATGGGTAGCTTTGTACAGTATCACGGTCTGTAATGCAAGAAATCTGATACCCATCCCCAGTTCTTCCATAATAGTGTTACCGGCTGTCCTATTTTGTATTCTGAACCTCTATTGGCTGCCCAGCTCAAATAACAGTCATTGTTTGTTTTTCCTCTCCGTAGAGCAACATGCCGTAGATGAACTCCTGGCATCCTACGTTCATGGGGTTGATATCGATGGACAGGTCCTGCGGTATTTAGATATTGCTCAGGTCAGACATTACACAGATTTACAGTATTTGGATTTCACAAACTGGTGTCCACTGTTAAGGAAAAACTACCCATATTTTTTTTTTTTTTTCTATAGGGCTCATTAATAAAAATTAATTTTTCAGGTATGTAATGCTCCTGACACAGTTTCACCCATTACATAAGATGAGTGATAGGAGCCATAGTGCGGCTGCTATCCTGTTACAGAGTGAACCAAGGCTGCATGCTACGATCAGCAAAGCCGCACACCTCGCATGCACAGTACAGATCCACTTTCCATCTGTAGAGAGCGCTCATTCCAAGTTGTGCATTCACATGTTACCATCTTATTAACCCCTTAAGGACAAGACTTCTGGAATAAAACGGAATCATGACGGAATATGTCCGTCATGTGTCTTTAAGGGGTTAAATTAACGGAAGATTTTGTCTGCCTGATTGGGAGCTCTGTTTTGGCAGTCAAACCATTAAAGGAACACTAGGGTCAGGAACACAAACCTGTATTCTTGACCCTATAGTGTTAAAACCACCATCTAGCCCCCCTGCCTCCTTAAATATAGTGAAATCTTATATTTACTCCAGTCTGCTGCCTCATTGTTCTGCTCTAGTCTGCCTGCTTGGCTGACATCAGACGTGTTGATCTGGGCCAATCACAATTCTTGTCCATAGGATTGGCTGAGACTGGCCAATTAGCATCTCCTCATAGCGATACATTGAATCAATGCATCACTATGAGGGAAGTTCAGTGTCTCCATGCAGAGGGTGGAGACACTGAATGGCAGTCACACTGTGCAGAACTGCCCCAGGAAGCACCTCTAGCAACCATCTGAGGAGTGGCCAGTGGGGGTATCCCTAAGCTGTAATGTAAACACTGCATTTTCTCAGAAAAGACTGTGTTTACTTCAAAAAGCCTGAAGGGAATGATTTTACTCACCAGAACAAATACAACAAGCTGTATACTATACAATAAGCTGTAGTTGTACCATCAGCTTCCTGCTCTGCATCCTGGAACAAGCTGCTCTGAGGTAGCCCAGTGGTGCAAGGCTTAGCTCATTGGTTATCAGCTGACACCCTCAGCTAATGTGTTGCAGGGCGTGGCTCAGTAGAGCTAATGGAGGCTGCAGCAGAGCATTAGGTAACTGGTGCACACATGGCACCGTAACCACTACAGCTCCAGAATAATTATTATAGTGTTAGGAGTATTCCTTTAAGCAAGCTCTGCGGGACTGTTTGAAGCCATTACCAACTGTGTGACTACAGAACAGACTGTGTAGCATGGATTAAAGCTATGCCTGCTCTGCGACAGGCTATGTGCGTGTATTACAGACTGCGGAAAATGGATTAAGGCTATGCAGTCTCTGCAGCGGGCTGAATTAAGGATATGCAAGCTCTGTGCTGGGCTGGAATAAGGCTATGCAGGCTCTGCACCGGGCTGGATTATGGCTATGACAGATTGCTGGAGGAGAAATCCATGACATACACTGTGTGCTATGTACTAAATGTTTCTAAGGCTGCTCCTATTAAACGTGGTTTTAAACTTTGTCTGTTTTTCTTTCCGCAGTTCCATAATGCCAAGCAGCTGGCAGACTGGTGTTTACATTTCATCTGTACCAACTACAACTCCGTCTGCCGCAAATTCCCGCGTGAGATGAAGTACATGTCACCAGGTAACAGTGTATTTAATGTCCAGTAAGAAACCGAGGCTGGTAGTATCTGATGGGGGCAGGGAGCCGATAACTGTGTGTGTGCGCGCATCCGATGGAGGGGGGGCTGTAACAGAGCTCCCCGTACTCCGACTGAGTACCCTCCGTTGATGGACGCTTCCTAGCTTACGCCGAGGACCACAAGCACCGCACCGGACACTGCAGACTCCGCAACCGCTGTAGCTTGACTGGAGTCTCGCCGTCTTCCTTCCACCCTGGATCAGCTTCCGGATCAGCTTCCGTGTGGGAAAGACCTCTTCCTTTCACCCTGTATGAACCTCCAGCATCCAGGACTGTGTGGGGAAGACCTCTCCTCCAAGGAGAGCATGTCAGGAACAAGCTCTTAAAAGAGCGAAGTGATTCAAGCTCAGGGGAGTATGCAGAACATAGCAAGCCTCAGTGTGATTATAACAGCTCCCTCCAATAATGAGACAAGGCTACGTTTAGAGGGATCAAGAAGAACTGTCTAAAACTTTATTTTACTTTGGACTAGCCTATATGGTCATCACATTAACATTGCTGTGAAAACTCAATAAAATCACAAACCGTCAAACCATGTCAGGCAACACACAGTGACTTATCACAACACAATTGCACATTTCCAAGTAGGTGGGGGAGACAATAACTAATAGAAAATATCTCACGTGTCTGCAGAATTGGCAATATGCAAATCTACCCGAATATGCAAATGAACCAGTCTTGCTATTCAGGTAGTGCATATTGTTGTTGCTACCAACAGAGGGCACTAGACAAGCTCCATAGCCAAATCCACCTAGTTGGTAGCAAACCTCAGCAGTACAGGAGAGCAGGCAATACATTACACAGTACACACACACACACTATAAACATTACACACATCCTGCACCTATAATGGGTACAGGGTGACTAAAACATAAGAGAAATAAAGCAACCTACATAAATGCTTGGGGCGGAAAGGGGTTTTGCGGCTCAATCACACGGGAGGGCGCGAAACCCCTATTGAACAAGTGCTCCTTCTGGGATTGGTCGCCCGCTCCCTGCAGTGATCAATCAGCGCTTTACTCGTGCCGACCAACCAGGAGAATACTCCGGTATCCGCCAGGGAGAGCATTCGCCTGGGTAGCCACGAGCCTAGCCTCGTAGCTCCCATGTTTGAAAGTGACAGTGATGATTATAGCCGGTTAGGATGATCTCTGACACAGGGATTGAAGACAGTCTATGCAGGCCGGTTCGGGAATCGAATGCTCCCCTTGGTGGGCATTCGGTACTACGAACCGGCGTCCACCCAGGGGAAGCATGTGCCACTCGTCCCCTTCCGGTCTGCGTTTTTTCACACCTCGGTAGTGAGGTGTGAACATTCTAAGTAGGGGTGGTCCGGTGCACGGGGCTCCATGTGCTGGAGCGCCCCGGGGTGGTCAAAAGGTATATTACAGGATTTTATGGTCAAAATTTCAGAGAGAGGAATATTAAAGAGGGGAAACACACATTCTAGGAAGGCACCTCCATACATATAAAACAAGGCAATTCACAGTTAGGCAGTGGTCCCGCCACACCATGCTATTGAGATGAAGTGTTCTGAGTGATTAGCGGTCCTTTAAGAATATTGCCCAGTAAGCCATGTGACTGTATGTGTTTTATTAAGGCCATCTCTCTCTTCGCAGAGAATAAGCGTCACTTTGAGTGTCACCGCTGGCCGCCTGTGTGGTACCTGAAGGAGGAAGATCGTTATCTCCGCTGTAAGAAAGAGCGTGAGCGAGAAGAAGAGATTCTGCGCAAGCAGCAAAGCAAGAGCAAGTGGTGTTTCTGGCGTCCCACCTCCTCTGTGTCCTGAGTCCAGAGTTGCCTTGCTGTATGTGCCTTCCTCGTGGGGCCCGCACCATGGATCTGCTGCTAGGAGATGCATGTACTTGTGCCATGGTTTTAATGCTGCTCTATACAGGGATATTGCTTAATATAGAAAGCATGGAGGGGAGCCTGGTTAAATCTGTGGTCACTGTTGTAAATCGGTTTACCTCTACAAGCAGTGAAACCAATACTTTTGGAACATGTTTCAGCTTCCATCTCGGGTCCCGGCTTGTTCCGTTGGAGAGAGCAGGGTTTAATATAAGTGCCATTCATTTATTAATGGGTAATGTGAGTTAGCCCAATACCAATAAACCTTGGGCCTGATTTTTGGCACGATCAGTTCCATTAAGGTCCTATTTTATCTGTAACAGGTCTAAGAATGCCATTTTAAAAGAGGGTTTATCCAGCCTTTGTGCGTGTATCTTAAATTTTACCATTCTCATTCCTAAATTCCTACCCCAAAATGGTCCTAAAAATACTGCACACCCCTCTACCCATAATGACATGCACCCTGCTTCCAATAATGAGATCCTAAAGTTCTTCACACTAGGGGGCATGAGAAGTCTACCTCTGTCCCTTCCACACGATCACAGAACCCAAACTTAGTGAGTGTCCATAATAGAAGCACGTGTGCACATATAGTCCTGCCTTTCTGTGGAAAGACGAAGTGCCATACTCTGTATTGTTCTACATACTAGCAAAACCACCCCATAATAATCTGAACTGTGCGAGCCACCTCTGCACATGTTCTGTTTACTAACCTGAAGGATTAGCCAACTGTCAGGAGATCTAGAGAGTAAAGTGAATTGCTGTTCAGAGGTTGTAGTTATGTAGGTGAGCTCAATATTTGGAAGTATAAGGGACTAGAGCGGAAAGAGTGCTTTAAATGAACAATATTTTCTCATGGTACTAATTTCTACTGTTATACAGAGCTGGTAAGCTTGTCCACGACATCATATTGTGTGTCAGTAGATGACCATACCCACACCATTATATAGAGCATGAAAAGATACTCGCCACCATTATATAGAGCAGTATGGTCATAACTAGATACTATGCACCATTATATAGAGCGGTGTGGTCATAACTAGATACTCCCCACCATTATATAGAGCACTATGGTCATAACTAGATACTATGCACCATTCTATAGAGCACTATGGTCATAACTAGATACTCCCCACCATTCTATAGAGCACTATGGTCATAACTAGATACTCCCCACCATTATATAGAGCACTATGGGCATAACTAGATACTCTGCACCATTATACAGAGCGGTATGGTCATAACTAGATACTCTGCACCATTATATAGAGCAGTATGGTCATAACTAGATACTCTGCACCATTATATAGAGCACTATGGTCATAACTAGATACTCCCCAGCATTATATAGAGCACTATGGTCATAACTAGATACTCTCCACCATTATATAGAGCAGTATAGTCATAACTAGATATTCGGACCCATTATACAGAGCGTTCTGATCATAACTAGATATTCGGACCTATTATACAGAGCGGTATGGTCATAACTAGATACTCTTCCCCATTATATAGAGCGGTATGGTCATAACTAGATACTCTTCCCCATTATATAGAGCGGTATGGTCATAACTAGATATTCGGACCCATTATACAGAGAGGTATGGTCATAACTAGATATTCGGACCCATTATATAGAGCGGTATGGTCATAACTAGATACTCTGCCCCATTATATAGAGCGGTATGGTCATAACTAGATACTCTGCCCCATTATATAGAGCGGTATGGTATTAACTAGATGATACCATTATTTAGAGCAGCATGGTCATAACTAGTGTAAATAGAGATACTCTGCACCATTCTATAGAGCATTGTGGTTTTAACTAGTATACAGAGATACTCTTCAGAACTATAGAATGCAGCATGTTTGATGTCAAGGACTAATCTGCATCTCTATAAGGCACCGTGTGAAGTTTGTATTTAAGGGTAAAGTCTGGCAATGGTTGGCTAATTAAGCCACATTATCATTACCATCTGTGTGATCATCTACGGTATTGATGAAGTGGGAGATACACGGACCCTTACAGCCACAGGAGATACTCCGCTTCCACAGATACTTTGTATCACCTCTCTCTTTATCTAAGCTGTATTAAATGGAGTCATTGTTGGCCTCCAGTGTTAGTGGACATACAGACGGACGCCCAGTATGGTTATAAAGTATTGCATGTTTATTGACAGATATTGGGAAACTCACCACTGACGGACAGTATTAAACTCTGCTGCATGTTGTGGAGGGTCTAAAAGTCCTGATACTCGGTACTATTGTACAGGGCTAGCTTCATAAAGTGGGGGATGTGGGGTTTTATTACTGTTTTGTAAACTGTATTTTCTGCCTGATTCCTTCACCTATGTTGCCAAAACACCAGCTTTGGTCCCAGTCACAGAGTGTAGTGACGGTGACACTTTACTTTGTCCTGCCCCAGCTTGCACTTCTTCTCACATGTTTACAGCACAATCCCGCCTTGCAAAAAATATATATATTCCGTGTCACAACTTAGTGACCTCTCTGTGCCTTCTCTAACCCAACCAGAAGGGTCTAATCCCTTCATTTTGGATTCCCCTGCGGTGATTAACGCAAAAGTAGAGTGAGAAAAACCTCTATCTCCCACTTGTGCTCTTCAAACTTTGGCACCATGGGAGTGGCTCCTAGACGTGCCAAGGACTCTGCTTGGATTTTGTACCAGACATGGGTTTTGTACTCCCCTATTCTGTAGGGGTGTGTGCTATTATTTTCCGTGACAGTTCGTCACTGTAATGAGAAGCTGGAGAAGTTCGCTTTCAGTAGACTCTACAAGTTCTTTAATTTTCGTCGCAAAAGTTACATTTGACCATTTGTTTGAATCGAGAGCCCAGTAAACTTTGACACCTCATACTGAATTTAGAGCGATATTTATTCCTAGGTTCTGCAGTTTAAAGGGACTCTCTAGTGCCAGGAAAACATCCCTCCCTTCCACCCCCCATCCTATGTTGCTGAAGGGGTTAAAACCCCTTCAGTGACTTACCTGAATCCAGCGTGGACTTCCCTCATCGCTGGGTCAGGCTCCTCCCCAGCCGGTGGGAGAGACCTAATGCTTTCCTATGGGGATGCCAGCAACGCTCATGCATAGCGTGAGGACGTCCAACGTCATTTAAAACACTTTTCCTGTTTTAAGAACACGGATAGTCCCTCTAGTGGCTGTATGATAAACAGCAGCTAGAGGTGGGATTAGCCCTGCAAGTGTACTTATTGCAGTTTATAAAAACTGCAATAATTACACTTGCAGGGTTAAAGGTGGTGGGAGTTGGCACCCAGACCACTCCAATGGGCAGAAGTGGTCTGGGTGCCTCGCATTAAGTTGAGTTGACTCTTCTGATAAGGAAGATGTGCTCTATGGGTGACCAAGTGTAATTTCCATTGCTGCCCAAAAGCGTTGCATGTAGATAAATGGCATATTTTGTGGTTGGTTTTTGCTAGAAGGTGAAGAACAAAGCTTTCTGATCGTTTTACCCAATAGATGAGGAATTAAGCTCTGTGACTGCTTGGCTTTTTGAATTGGTTTTGCTTTGAGATCAGGAGTTAAACTTTGTGATTAGTCATTCCTGTTTTTTGGGGGGGAGGGGGTTGGTTGCCACTTTTTTGGCTAAGCATTATGATGATTTTTATTTATTTATTTTACAGATGTTGTGTAGTGTGTGGCAGTTGGATTATTTTTATTTGGCCATATTAATTGGAGCATAGGTTCAGATTTTAGGGCAAAAGTTAGCCAAAGCCACGCAGAGCGTGCCATTCTCACAAATGTTTGCTGTGATAAGATTGACTGTCACATATTATTCTGTCAATGATGTGAAGAACTTCTACGTATCTGTATGCCACATTGATCGGAAGGACTGCCACGTATCGGTCTGTCACACTGATAGAAAGGACTGCCACGTATCTGTCTGTCACGCTGATAGGAATAACTGTCACATACCTCCGTGACACGCTGATAAGAATGAGTGCTACATCTTTGTGTGTCACACTATCGGAATGACTACCATGTCTCTGTGTCTTTATTGGCGCAAATTCCACGTTCATGTATGTCACGCTGATTGTAGCTAGGGCCGTGTCTGTGTCAGACTGATTGTAGCTTGTGTGTGTATATCAGACTGATTGTAGCTAGCGCCGTGTCTGTGTATGTCTAAGAATCCCTAAGAGGGTTCATCCAGCCTCTATCACATCTGTCACGCTGGTAGCAGAATGTACGGTAAACTGTAATGCCAAATGTATAAGTACCAATGTGATGTGGAGAGTGAATACTGAGCATTTGTTTGTGATGCTATGACGAGAATGAACACTGTGTGTAATGGAAGTGTGCATATGTTGAGTGTCGGAGTGCATGTGATGCTGTGACTGATTGTGGAGAACGTGTATGTGGCACTAATTAGTGTGAATACATGGTGTAGTTATATTACATGATGAGTGTGCATACAGGGTGTGGGCTTGGTGTGTTGCAATTTAGAGTGGATACAGGGTGTGAGGTGTTGCGATAAGTGTAGATACAGGGTGTGGGTTTGGGGTGTTGCGATAAGTGTGCAGATACAGTGTGTGCCTATGTAATGTGGTCTGGGTACACATGTGGCTATGTGGGTATGGGGAGCTGTGATTGGTGTGGGTACATGGTGCTGTAGTGAGTGTGGTGTGAGATTGTGTTGCCATGAAAGGTATGGGTAGGTGTTGGTTTAATAATTGTGGCTCAGCAGTGAAGGGTCTGAATATTAAACTTGGTGCTCTTATCTTGTTTCAGCTTTTGACACTGCATGGTTGTATTTTGGCATGCACAGGATGAGGAGAGCTGGTGGTACAAAGCTTAGTACATTAAAGGAACACTTTAGAGACAGGAACACAAACATGTATTCCTGACTCTCTAGTGTTAAACCCACCCTTTGTGACATCATCAACATGGCTGATTTTTGCCTGTCCAAAGCATTGAATTGGCTAAAATCGGCACGGGGGCGGGGCCAAATGCCATTTTGGCCAATAAAGACCTCCTCATAGAGATGCATTGAATCAGTGCATCTCTATGCGCAATATTCAGCATCTCCAAACAGAGCGTGGGGACGCTGAACGTCAGGGCTGCTTTTTCGGAGGTGTCCCTAGGGGCAATGTAAACAAAAGGCAGTTTTTGTATGGAAAAAGCCAGAAGGCAATGATTTTACTCACCAGAACAACTACATTAAGCTGTAGTTGTTCCGGTGACTAGAGTGTCCCTTTAAGATTTATCACAGGACGGTGTTACCATCCCTGTTCTTGTCCAGATGAGGAGCACAGGTGAGAGATGGAGGATTTCCTCAGTCTAAGGGCTGTTTCTACTCTCTATGTTTATAAACTGTTGAAACCTTTGTACATGGTCTATCTTGAGAATCTGTGTGTCACAACCACGGCGTATTCTATAATAAACGTTTTTTACTCGTACCAAGCAGTCCATGATATTTAGTTGGGAAATAACAATAGACTATTTACAGATGAAGACCATGTGAATGCGTGATGAGCATCTCCTACCAGGGCTCCTTGATAAACAGAGAGGAACTTGCTATTACACTAGTTGACCCCTTCCTAATTTCCTCTGTTTTTGTGTTAAATACATGTTTATTTAATGTAACTATTGCAATGTAAGTACATGTCCCTACCGTAAGCAAATCTGATTGGATAGCATGGATAATGGAGAGGTTTTTTTGTTCTAGTAATGGGTCATCTTACTACTAAAGAATACAAAGATAATTTAGATAATTGGGTGCTTCCAGGTTTATTTCCAAAGGACGTATCTACAAAAAGTTCCCTAGCATTTAATGGTGACTTTTGTAGATAACTAATTTTAAAGGTTTTTTTTTCTTTTTCTAAAAGTATTATTTTAAAGGAAATATTAAACTGAGACTTTTGTGATACCAGTTTGGAGAAGGCCCTTTTCTGTTCCAGCATGACAATGCCCTATGCACAATGTGAGATCCATGAAGACATATATTTTGGTGTGGAGGAATGCAAGTGGCTGGCTGCCACCACCACTGAAACACTTTTAGAATGGATTGGAACGCCGATTGTGAGGTAAGACACTGAGGAATAAAAAGACCTGGCTCACAAAGTAATTTATTGGGTGAATTGACTAAAATTCCCAGAGATATAATCCAAAATCTCACAGAAAGCTTTCCTAGATGAGTGGTTGCTGTTATAGGAGCAATAAGCAGCCAGCTCTATACTTCTGGCCATGGTTTACGAATAGGATGTCTAACAAACAAGTTTACATAGGTGTGATGGGCAGGGGTCTAATTAACTTTGGTCACATAGTGTATTTATAATGTTTAAATGCTCCTATACATCTAGAAATGACTGTCTAGGGCGAAGAGACAGGTACAGACTGTAAATAAAGAGTAAGGAAACATGAGAAGAGAGACTACAGGGATTGGAAAGCGGACATCAACAAGAACTTAATTGCTTCCATATAGGTCCATTGGCACTGCCAGGTGAGAAATCCCACAACAATGCACGGAGCAAAGTGTATTCGTAAATAGAGTGCAAAGGCAAGGAGCCCTACGGGAAATCACCTGGTATAGCATGATTCCCAAAAAGATGCAGACTGGTCTCTTTAACATGAAAGGTAAGGCATTTAGTAATCGAGTCCGACAATAAATAACGAATTGGTAAATAATGGAGCAGAAACCTTTCTTTCTGAGACATTAATGAATTGTCTTCGTGCTTGGAAATGTAACTGTCCTTTTCCAACAGGAGGGTAGATTAAACTCAGAGCATCCCATAATCACCCCACTTAGGCAGAGAGACAGGACTGAACAAGGCTCTCCAGATTTCCTCAGGCCCCCAAAAGAACCTGTAATCTGTTAGCTACAGAGAGATAAACTACTACACTGCAATCTGTATTACTCCCCTGCTCCAATCCTCCAGAGTAATAATCTCCCCACGCTCCAATCCCCCAGAGTAATAATCTCCCCACACTGCAATCTGTATTACTCCCCTGTTTCAAACCCCCAGAGTAATAATCTCCCCACGTTGCAATCCCCCAGAGTAATATTCTCCCCATGCTGCAATCTCTATTACTTCATCACTGCAATCCCCCAGAGTAATAATCTCCCCACGCTCCAATCCCCCAGAGTAATATTGCTCCTCTCTTCCCCCTAACCACCAGCTGCTCCTCGCCACTCTAACCACTGGCTCATCCTCTAACCACCAGCTGCTCCTCACTACCCTAACCACCTGCTCATCCTCTAACCACCAGCTGCTCCTCGCCACTCTCTAACCACCGGCTCATCCTCTAACCACCAGCTGCTCCTCACTACCCTAACCACTGGCTCATCTAACCACCAGCTGCTCCTCACTACCCTAACCACCGGCTCATCCTCTAACCACCAGCTGCTCCTCACTACCCTAACCACCTGCTCATCCTCTAACCACCGGCTCATCCTCTAACCACCAGCTGCTCCTCACCTGCTCATCCCTCTAACCACCGGCTCATCCTCTAACCACCAGCTGCTCCTCGCCACCGGCTCTCCCCCTAACCACCAGCTGCTCCTCGCCACTCTAACCACTGGCTCATCCTCTAACCACCAGCTGCTCCTCACTACCCTAACCACCGGCTCATCCTCTAACCACCAGCTGCTCCTCGCCACTCTAACCACCGACTAATCCTCTAACCACCAGCTGCTCCTCGCCACTCTCTAACGACCGGCTCAACCTCTAACCACCAGCTGCTCCTCACTACCCTAACCACTGGCTCATCCTCTAACCACCAGCTGCTCCTCGCTACCCTAACCACCGGCTCATCCTCTAACCACCAGCTGCTCCTCGCTCCTCTAACCACCGGCTCATCCTCTAACCACCAGCTGCTCCTCACTACCCTAACCACCTGCTCATCCTCTAACCACCAGCTGCTCCTCTGCCACTCTCTCATCCTCTAAGCACCAGCTGCTCCCTCACTACCACCTAACCACCTGCTCATCCCTCCCCAACCACCGGCTCATCCTCCTAACCACCAGCTGCTCCTCGCCACTCTCTAACCACCCGGCTCATCACTCTAACCACCAGCTGCTCCTCACTACCCTAACCACCTGCTCATCCCTCTAACCACCAGCTGCTCCTGCATACTCTCTAACCACCCGGCATCCCTCTAACCACCAGCTGCTCCTCCACTACCCCTAACCACTGGCTCATCTAACCACCAGCTGCTCCTCACTACCCTAACCACCGGCTCATCCTCTAAGCACCAGCTGCTCCTCACTACCCTAACCACCTGCTCATCCTCTAACCACCGGCTCATCCTCTAACCACCAGCTGCTCCTCGCCACTCTCTAACCACCGACTCATCCTCTAACCACCAGCTGCTCCTCACTACCCTAACCACCGGCTCATCCTCTAACCACCAGCTGCTCCTCGCCACTCTAACCACCGGCTCATCCTCTAACCACCAGCTGCTCCTCGCCACTCTCTAACCACCGGCTCATCCTCTAACCACCAGCTGCTCCTCGCTACCCTAACCACCAGCTGCCCCTCGCTCCTCTAACCACCAGCTGCTCCTCGCTCCTCTAACCACCGGCTCATCCTCTAACCACCAGCTGCTCCTCACTATCCTAATCACGGCTCATCCTGTAACCACCAGCTGCTCCTCGCTACCCTAACCACCGGCTCATCCTCTAACCACCAGCTGCTCCTCGCTACCCTAACCACCAGCTCATCCTCTAACCACCAGCGGCTCCACGCTACCCTCTAACCAAGAGATGCTCCTTGCTACCCTCTAACCACCAACACACCCAAGTAGCAGTGAGCATGCTTGTACATGTCATTTCTATATGTTCCAGGTGTGCAGTGATCGCATCCAGTGACCAGTGCAAATATCAAATGGCCTTCAATGAAGAGAAGTCAAGTTTTACATGTCTGCTGCTTTATTTTCCCAAGGTGGACAGTTGCCGCCATGCTAAGCAAGGAAACCCTAGCTGTGGCTCGCACTGATCTACATCTATAAAAGCTATATAAACAGCAGTACAAGTAAATTAGTTTAATTTGCACCTAAAATTAGGTGCAATGGGTCCAGGAGTCAGTTCACTCAGAAAGGCTTTAGTATATTCTGATGGTTCAGGAGAAACGCAGCACTTACATATATGGGGTGTATGACTTTAAATCTGCTAAAGGCAGAGTCAAACTTTCTACACACCAAATAATCTACTTTTAACTCAAAGATTTAAACTGTAAGGGTGATATAGGAAAACAGTATGAGGAACTGTTTCCTATTTGTAACATAAATTGTCACAATTATATACGGTGTGTGTGTGTCCCTAAATCTGTAACAAACAGAATAAGGCAAAGTATATACCGAATGGTGTACTCTATGACAAAAGATGAAAACTTTATGTAATAGACATACAGTATCTATGACTGTGTTCTGAAAGTAACTATCACTTAAAATAATAAATGTTGGAATAAATAAAATAAAATAAAATTAATACAACGTTTATTGGGCATATTGGTTAAATTAAAAACACTAAAAATATATTCAGATCATACCAATAATTAAAAAATATGAGCCAGGAACGTATTGCAAGAATATTACCAGCAATTGGGCAGTTCTTGAATCAAATAAACCGCAGGACCGTCCAGGATGGATGTGGATACAGTGTTGCATAAACTGTAATTTACTTGTACTGCTGTTTATATAGCTTTTATAGATGTAGATCAGTGCGAGCCACAGCTAGGGTTTCCTTGCTTAGCATGGCGGCAACTGTCCACCTTGGGAAAATAAAGCAGCAGACATGTAAAACTTGACTTCTCTTCATTGAAGGCCATTTGATATTTGCACTGGTCACTGGATGCGATCACTGCACACCTGGAACATATAGAAATGACATGTACAAGCATGCTCACTGCTACTTGGGTGTGTTGGTGGTTAGAGGGTAGCAAGGAGCATCTCTTGGTTAGAGGGTAGCGTGGAGCCGCTGGTGGTTAGAGGATGAGCTGGTGGTTAGAGGATGAGCCGGTGGTTAGAGGAGCGAGGGGCAGCTGGTGGTTAGAGGATGAGCCGGTGGTTAGGGTAGCGAGGAGCAGCTGGTGGTTACAGGATGAGCCGTGATTAGGGTAGTGAGGAGCAGCTGGTGGTTAGAGGATGAGCCGGTGGTTAGGGTAGCGAGGAGCAGCTGGTGGTTAGAGGATGAGCCGTGATTAGGGTAGTGAGGAGCAGCTGGTGGTTAGAGGATGAGCCGGTGGTTAGGGTAGCGAGGAGCAGCTGGTGGTTAGAGGATGAGCCATTGGTTAGGGTAGTGAGGAGCAGCTGGTGGTTAGAGGATGAGCCGGTGGTTAGAGAGTGGCGAGGAGCAGCTGGTGGTTAGATATTCTAGGCAGAGTATTTGGTGAAACTTCTGCCTGTATCCACTTTGAGCCACTTCCCCATAAGTCAGACTCCCTCATTCCTGTGTGTTGCAATAGGCATACCAGACCAATCTGAGCAGTACAAGTAAAAGCTATTGTCATGCACTGGATTCAACTCACAAGTGACCTTTTTTTTTTTTTCTTTTCTAAGCATGAATGAATCAAAAGCAAAAAGAAAAGTGACATCAGGTGGCTACTGTGAGAATTGCATAGTATTGCAGATAAATATTGCTCTTGGAATTGTTGCTTGTTCAAGGGAAATGGAGACTAACAAGTTGCATTGGAGTTACATAGACCTCACGTATTGGGGACAAAAACTTTAGATGCAATCCATGACTGGTATGGGGTACTTGAGGACTGGGTTGGGAACCCCTGATATAGGACATTACTCTTACTTAATTATTTTTTTCATAGAATTTCTATTAACATTTTTTTATTTTTTTTATTTATACTAATATTATGCATGTAGTATTAATGATAAACTTATATAATTAATACAGACACACACACACATATATATATATTTCTAAGAATATAGATGCAGTGTAACTAAAACCCAGACATACATCTTATGTAAGTCATTATTTTATCTTACTTATAATCATGACGTGTCTGTATAATTAGTGTGTAAAATAGATTCTATTCACGCTTTGGATTTAAGCGAGGGACAAGTGGTGCTTTAGCTTTAATTTATAAGGGGATACAGTACCGAAATATACATTTTTTATATTTTTTTTTTTTATATAAAGTATCTTTTAATAATTTATTAACCAATAAATATTCTCACAATATACATCCTCCACCCCAAATTGATTTGTGTTTTCACTATATCACGACAGACATCTCCCATCCAAAGGTACCTTACCATAATGGGCTCTGGTCATTACCAACCGCAGAATGCTTTCACGAAGCCTCCTACACACATCTACTACTCCTGAGAGCCCACAATCTACATCCGATCCTAGTGAGCACACACTGAGATCCAGCGAAAAAACTAGGTTATAGTACGAGCGTTCCAAACTCGTATGTCCATAGTTTAACAGTCCTCAGTCATTATTTCCATCTTGGTTCCGGGAAGAATGTGCATCATGTTACAACTGAGCGTATCGAATGATTTCGCTCAGGTCATAACCGGTCACGGAGAAGGATGTGCCTTGTGGATCGCAGAACCGGGCCCCACATATCTTGGTGTCAGTCACGCACTCAGAGTGTAGGTGCTCAACCTAAGGAGAGAACAGAGATAGGATAAAACACTGCAATCTGTACCCAGAGAGCGAGGATTCCAATGCTGCAGTCTGTACACAGAGAGCGAGGATTCCAACGCTGCAGTCTGTACCCAGAGAGCGAGGATTCTAACGCTGCAATCTGTACCCAGAGAGCGAGGATTCTAACGCTGCAATCTGTACCCAGAGAGCGAGGATTCTAACGCTGCAGTCTGTACACAAAGAGCGAGGATTCCAACGCTGCAGTCTGTACCCAGAGAGCGAGGAATCCAACGCTGCAGTCTGTACCCAGACAGCGAGGAATCAAACGCTGCAATCTGTACCCAGAGAGCGAGGAATCAAACGCTGCAATCTGTACCCAGAGAGCGAGGATTCCAACGCTGCAATCTGTATCCAGGGGTACAAACGCTACCCATGAGCCAGGGGAACAGTTTGTGGATTTGTTCGATTTTAGAACTCCCTGAAATAGACTACCTCTACCTCTGAAACTGTGGAACTGTTTTGGGCAGGAACCGCGTGTGTGGCCTGTCAAAGTGTGACTTCCACGGAATTCCTGAACCCCTGAACCGATATGGGTGATTTTTGGATGTGTTTTTCCCCTAGATCGGGGCTATCAGGGGATGTTACTGTTGTGGGGTTTCCATGTGTTTTGGGGGTATTTTCAGAGTGTTAGTACAGTTCCTGACTTATCTCTCAGGCACAGGGGAGGAATTATCCTGTTTTGTGTGGGAGTATCCTGGACCTGAGAGCCAATGTGATTACCGTGTGTATTTTCTCACAGTCCCCTCTCAGGTCCAGTGGGGAATACCCCTGAATATGTCACAGTAAACCCCTTGCATGGGGGCCTGAATACATTAATTCCTGTTGTACTCTTCATCTAGTTTAGGCTGATGTTTGGGTATGCGTCTGATTGCTGGGAGAATTTACTTGGATACTGCATTTTCTTCTGGAGAACGTTTGAATCAACACCCGAACTGCGAGCTTTAATCACTCAGCTTTTAGCAGTTCGGGAGGAACTGGAAGGGAACGGGTATCTGACATACCAGTTTCCTAACAGTGTACTTTTGGAAGGCTATAGATTGTGGAAATTACAGGCTGTTTAATCAACATGAAGTCAAATTCATTCTTACTGATTAACTTGTTTTCCACGGCTTCCATTAGAATAGATACTGGGGGGTGGGATCCTGAGTCAGGATTTGGTACTTGTCCCTGTCGTTTAATAATCTATATACCATCTGTACATATTTCGAGTGATCCATAACCACGATGGATGGTTTTATCACTAGCTCATAATTAGACTTTAGTGATTGTTACTGGGTTTTAAATCCAAAATGTTCGAGTCAGTTTTTCAATATTTTTGTAGTCTTTAAAGGGTGGTGTGAAATTGCTTTTTGGGGCAAGATTAGTTTTGGGAATATTTCTTGGTCTAGTCCCATCACTAAAAATCAAGGAGGTCAACCAAAGTATCAAGGCAGATACTTAGCCGGGCAGCCCACATGACAAAGAGGTGCAGATGACACCCTTTCTGGCTACATTGGATTTTTTATATATACTGCATTTTGTATGTGATCGAGGATCATGATAGTAAACAAATGTATACTGCAGGATAAATATTGACCCTAAAAGATAGAATTAGGTACAATATTAAAAATTTTGATTTAGCAGATAATCCACTTTTTTGTTTTTGATAAAAAGACCAAATATATGCATCTCAAAAATGAGAGCTGACACCTATAAAGTTGAGATATATAGATGGTTATCACCAGAAATTTCGATTGAGGTGATAATTCATGTTCCATCTACACTGCACTTTAAATACGGACCCCAAAGATGCAATGGGGTATAATATTAGAAATTGTGATTTAGTGGATAATCCCCTTTTTTATATATTTAATTTTGATAAATCTAATCTATGTATAATCATGCACTTTAAGAGCTAGATAGCAGCTTTATGCAGCTGAGATGTCTATGGGATTTATTATACCATCAGAAAAGTTGACTTGGGTGATAATCCATGTTTTTAAATCTAATAGAAATCTAAGCATCGCCCCCCTGTGATGATATCCAATCATAACAACATACGGCTGAATCCCTCCCCCTCTATCTTGATTGTCAATACAATTCACCAATGAATAGAGATTGGAAGGGAAAATACACCCCCCATCCCCCTATCAGCTGCAGTCTGTTCCACAATAATTGACAAGGGTATATATACAAGCAAGGTAGCCAGATCAGAGACACTGCTCCTGACGACAGCGTGCTGACATGCCAAAACGTGCGTCAAGCGCTTTTTTTTTTTTTCTTTCACTTCACTTGGTAGCACTTTAATTTAGTATGCACTAGTTTATTTTTATTTAGTTTTAAACAGGGAGACTGGTGCAGGTAGGCGTTAGTGGTTAGTCCACAGTGCCGAGGTAACACGGATAGATTCTTTCAGTAGCCTTTTTTGGTTTATGGTTATTGAGACTCAGTTCCTCCATCTTTCTCCCTGTGATTTTTACCTTTACCTGCCGCTAGTATACACGCTAGGAGTGTGTGGAGCTAGGGGTTCCGACATTTAGTATCTGGTTTGGCACTTACTGGTCTTTAGATATAAATAAAATCCATTGTAATAGTACTTGTATTAAATTACATATAAAAAGTTCTGAATTGCATTAATTCTGTGCTTTGTATCTTGTAATAATGAGTAGGATGTCAGAGTAGCATTGGACGCTCACCTCGATGGCTCCAGGATCTGTTGAGCGATTTAACTGCCAAATCTGCACAAATGAGTCTTCAGCGCCTGACAGTAGCTGCCAAAACAAACCACACAAGGCACCATCAGTGATGTTCCGATAATTCAGCAAAAACTCCATTACAAATAATTAACAAGTTACAAACAGATGGCAGCCTGTAACACTATAGCATAAAGTAAATGGATTCAATCACAAATGAACCATTTAGGACTATGTCGCTCTACACCATCATGCAGCGCAGGGCTTTACTGAGGCTAGATCATAATGCCATAAAAGTACCAACAGGGTTAAATCCTATAAAGAGGATGCTGCCATCAGGGAACACCACTGCCATGAAGGGCTGTACGTGGTCTGCAACAATTGTAGATGGCACGTGTCTAACATCCACATGAATGCCAGGACTCAAGGTTTCCTAGAGCAGAGTATTGCCTCTGCTGGCCTGCCTTTCTCCCATAGTGCATACTGCTGCTCTATCTTTCCCAGGTAAACTATGTGCTTTATCAGGCAACCTTCTACTATTGATCCATGGTCCAGATCTGATGCTAAAGTCCCCATTGAAGGTACTGTCAGCGGTGGACAGTGGTCACTGTGACAGATCCCTCTGTCTTGGATTTACATGGAACTACTATTACTTGGTTTCTTGAATTCGTGTTATTTTATTTGATTTGTTTCTTTCCCCATTCGTGTGGAACTCTATATGCTTCCCGGAAACTACCGAATAAACCTCTCGAACGGCCAGCCACCCAGTAGAGAAGTGTGCTGCTGGTTAACCTCTTGGCCCCATTAGAACGTTGAGGTTAATCGCAGAAAACTCTTAATTGATTCCTGTAGCTGGGAGGCCGCCATTCGTATCCTGAACACGAGGTTGCGGCCATTTTAAATCTACGAACGCTCAGCGGTGTTCGGTGGTAAACTCATGGAACTCAAAACGGACACTTTTTGGCACGAACACCGCTGAAGCCGCCGACCTCCCTTCTCCTTCGGTAGAAAACACACGAAGGTCCCTGTATTCTGTCTGCGAATAAGCCATACCCCAGATAGCCATCCAGTGGAGTCTATTCGTATGGAGAACAGACTTTGTGAACACTTTGACTCCACAGCGATTGGACTGTGTGCATAGGATCTGAGCGCTATTCGGTACTTTTGTGCGCTCAGATCCCAGCTATCTGGGGACACGTTGAATGCCTGTATTATGTCCATTTATTGTAAAGTTATATATTTTTATGCATTTTTTTATAGTCACTTAAAATGGCATTTGGTCTTTGTCTAGGGAGATAATAGAATTACTTCACAATTATCTCCCGGGCAGAG